CTACTGAGACTTTTAGTCAACTGGATGATTTTGTTAAGTTAAGGACTTGATCGACTAATTTTTCAATTAATCGATTATCATATTATCTTTATTTAAACATTATTCTTTAGTTTAAAATTGTATCTTAGTTTTAAGGTTTTCATGAACTTGATTATAAACAATTGAACTCTAAAAAGCAATAAAAATGCACCACTTTTATAATTAACTAAGTACAAAATGTCAAAATATACTATTGTTTTCATGAGACAAGAAAAAGGACACATAATTTAAGAAAAATGTTATTTTAGTCATAATTCATAACCAAAGAAAAGTCAATAATAGTACAATGGTGAATGTACTTCAAACCTCTGAATCCTGTTTTAGCAACTGAACTGAAAGTGTTTTAGGGCTTCATGTTGATTACATGCATGCTTGCCTTTCATGACTAAGCGGGTTTGCCATACACTCGAGTAGATTTTGCTTACTCAATGAAAATTGAAACGCATTTTGCTTACGGCTTATTAGGGTAATGAGGTCAATAGGTATTCCTTAGCTGCGGTTTTGATTTTGTCATCCATTTTCGCAGTTTCAATTCATTCATCGTTTCATAGCATTCATATCCAGTTCGGTTGTAGAAAACCGATATTCCTGGGAATTGGGGTACCTATCTCCAAGTAGGTCTCTAAGTACTGTAGAAGCGTATCGTGGAAAACATAATCATTCTAGCAAAAACATATTTAGATATGATGCATAAACTGAATGTTAATGGTTTACATATCGATATGCAAAATCAGTGCATGATTTGGAACAAACTTAAATCTGAGCTTACACATAGGTGTTTTTAATTTTTTTTAGATTTTTTTATAATGAAGTAAAATAACTTTTGCTTTATAAAATATATTTTACGTTATAGAAAGAGTGCCTGAAAAATCATACGTAAATATTCTATACAATACTAGTAGTGTTTATTTTGTATAGTTTCCAGTATCAAGCCAACCCTCCATGTTGTATAACTCACATTCCATTCCTATCAGTTTGCTCCAAGTCTCCATATATAGTGACTCCCGGGGGGGGAGGGGGGGGATCGGAACGAGGTCTAGAATAGAACCTGGGACCTTCAAGTACGGGTTTATTATACACGTTTTATTGTTCTGTAGAAATTAATTATGTTAAGGCCGTGCTGTCTTACTAAGATAACTGCTTCAAATAATTGGAACATTGCATTCTGACATTCATTTAGACTTGAGCAGTCAACAGGGCCTTTTTGTGGTTCGTTCTCTAGAAAAATCTTACTGAGCTGGGTTTGTCATCTGTCGAAACATCTGACTAGAGACATTATGAGAAACATTGGTGTAAAGTGTAACATGATGAATTTGTTTCGAAAATGTACAGTACTGAATGTCTGAGATTCAAGCAAACGCTAAAATCTTGAAAATTCCGTTTTTTTTAATCCCTCGAAAACATACAAGTAAAGTAATGCATTCTTTTCTATTCTACAAAGCAACTTGCTTAGAAGACATTTACAAGAAGAAACAGCAACAATCTAACTGTTTTAAAAATCCACTAACTTATAGCACAGACACACTTTTATCTGTGATCATAAACTGCAATACGTCAGTAAAAGTTTAATGATTAATTCAAAACCATCTTGAACTGACAGATTTTTAAAACTCAATCATCTCTTAGTGGAAAATAATATCTACGTGTGCATCAGAAGAGTTATTCACAAATTTGATGATTTATGTATTTGTTTCTATCCATTTCTAATGTCAGAGTTTGTTCGTACCTACATTTTGTTTGTCGTCCAACGAAATCCTTCACACACGATTATCCTTTTATTTTTATCATGACAAAACAACCAATTGAGCACAATCGGGAAGATTTTGTGAACTTTCGTAAACGACGGGATTAGCGAGATAGGTCTGTAGTTGGCGAGGTGCAAGGCGAAGGGTCGTCCTCGCGCAGGCGTAGTTGACATTTGAATGTCACCGAGATCATAATGTCTGTCGTCTGCTACAGGGATTAGGCTCGGACTCGGTGCTAATGTGGATGAACGAGCAGGTCTTGAAACGGAGCTTATGATTTGCGACTAATCCCTGTTTGGACGTCCAAGGATTCAAAAGGTGAAAGTGGTTGTGAGGAGTGAGGAGGGATTAAAATTAGATAAGTAGGCGATTATTCTTTAGAACTATTTACTTAAGGATTTTATGGATTTGAAGTGCAGCGCTAATCTAGTTTACGATTTTTGAAGGTTAAAGGTTTAAAAGTAAGGACATTGTGTTTGAGTGATTTGCATAAAATTAGAGTACGATGTGATAAACTGGGATACATTTCGCATACATGTTAAACGAAGATGTTAAGAAGAATAACCTAATAAAGGTGCAATATTACCTTTTGCGATTTTTCAAGCAAAACTTTTCTGAAAACTTGTAGCAAATCATATTGTACAATACATAGCATGTTTTTACAGTAAGGTGATAGTGGCTTTGTCTTATTTAATAATCAAGCGTAGGCTATAAGTTATTAGTGTAAAAATGCTTTTCATTTTCGGAAATCTAACATAAATCGATTTAAATAAATATAACGTTGTTATGTTAAACTATCAAACGTTCTTCTGTTGATCTTTTGAAGTAGTTGAGGTTAAACACAAATTTTATTTACATCACGAGCATTAAACGAAAGGTGGTTCCCTCCTGGTGTCATTTGAAACCGGAAGTAGGAATTTAGAATAACATACGTCAAAATATACGTCAGTTCAGACGTATACGCGTTGGCTTGAGTCAGACAGAAATAACCGTTGTAGTGGAAATAGACATTTCAGTCTGAGACAAACCTTTGTAGTTCTTTGTCCACATTTTGACATTTTCAATTTTTAATTGTGACTTTAATTTCTGTGTTGTTGTAGTAATCAAATGTAAATAATATAAAATGAAATAAAAAGATCGATTACGTAAACATTTCTCATTTCAAACACATCATTTAGTACCAATTTTGTTAAGACATCGATTCTTTTAGAATTTAGTAGAATTTATAAATCTACTCACTTAAGAAGGCATTATTTAACAAATAAATGTTTATTCAGATCTTATCTTGCTAAGTGAATTGTCTTGTGGCAAAATAGCTGTTAACGTGTTTTACGATAACATTTAGGTCCATCCCAGCTGCAGCAATTTTTGTGGGTTCATAAAGTAAAAACATCATTAGTTCATATCGTTATAAAATATATGGGGTAAAGGCAACTTGTTGAAATTCTCAGACAAGTTTTTGTTAAAAATCCTGTAAATTAAATACCCCCGCAGCAGCAAACCTGTTAAAAGCCGTTTGCCAATTTTGTCTGATTTTTTACCGCTGGGGATAACAAATGAAAAAGTGAATCGGTCCCGCGTCTAGGTCTTGCTTGTCACCAACGGTAACATATTCTTCCTTAGGTGGAAATAAGGATTGCTAATAGCAATTAACAAAATCACACAGTAATTCTAACACTTTTTAATTTAGCAAAAACAATGCTATCTAAAATGGTAACTTAAATACCAACAATGTTAAATTAAGTTGTTAACTCACAACATGACTAACCGACAAATTAAGCGAGTGATAGCGGTAACTACTTATTGTAGGCTAGCGTTAGCCAATAATGCTGCAAGGTAACAATCGACCGTTCCTGATAAGAATGATAAGAACGATAAGCCGAGGAAGGTGAAGTGATAAGTCCACAGTTGAGTGTGGATATTCCGCGGAACAACATGGTGTTATTATGTAAGTCCTTCTGTGGATTTGTTACCGTTAAAATTACAACCTTCGTGTTGTGTGTTGCTTTGCGTTTAATTTTTGATTCTGTTGGTTATACGATAGTAGAAAACGTGCAAAAATCGAAATGGAATAGACTATGAAACTGATTATCAGGAATTTTCAGAAAAGATATAGAAAGAGTGTGTGCACTTAGATAGTTTCTAAACAAATCTTGCCAATTCAGTAACTTGTTTTCTGAGAGATAATCATGTTCAACCATAATCAATATGAATTTCTTGTCAATGAATAAATAGGCTAACCACTCCCCATTGGTAATGTTGATGAGCTTAAGAAATTGGTCTTAATCTTTGACTATTGATTAATACAACTAGAACTTCCATACTCATGGTCAATTTGTTACCAGTTGTTTAAAATCAAAGTGGACGTAGTTGGAGTGAGCCATCAACAGATTGCACTGATGTAAAATACCGATGCAAACTATTTAAACATTCAAACCTATATAACGACTTATACAGAATTTCATAAAAATAACGTTAATAGTTTTAAGATGTAAATTAAAAACACAATTGGTGGATATTTCGGTAAAGAGGCATTATTGGAAAGAATGTTGAACTTGATTTTCGTCGTATTTCGTTCGACACATAAAAGATAATCCTACATCTTTAGTATTTACTTACACTTACATGACAGTATGGCTTGCTAGTCCAATTTTGTACCAATAATGTGGTTATCGTTATGTCTTTTACTTGGTAAATTCGAGACGAACGTAGCGCATAACTGTATGTTCCTTCTCTCTCTGTCTCATTACTATCTCCAGCATCAGCATCCAGTAATGAGATTACGTGTATGTTACGTAGTATGTTTGTCCCATTTCCCATACGTTCTCCATAACTGAGGACACAAGAAAGGCTATAAACTCTCATAATCGTTTGTTTAAACTATTTAACTTTACACACAAGTGCAGAGATCGCATTCCCGTCTATTACGTTTAAATCTTGCAGTAAATATGGTTAAACATATTGAAACATACAATCTTCTTCTACTTTTTAGAAATTTCAAACGTGGCTCTGGGTCAACAATGAACAATATGTGAGTAAAATGCCAATTTAGTTCAAACCAGCCTTCTTTACACTATAGGAGAAATACAGCAACAGCTGTTTAGGTAGGCCGGGGCTGCGGCGTTGCCACTTTAGTCTCGCCACGGCCAAGGAGGCTATGATTGTATAGTTTTATACAGAGACGTATCCAGTTTCTCAGATTGTTTATTGTTGCAGCCATGGAGCGGAGCCTCCACGAGAGGGACCGGGTGGGTGTCCAAGACTGTGTCCTGCTGGAGAACTACAACAGTGAGGCAGCGTTCATAGAGAACCTCAGGAAAAGGTTCAAGGAGAATCTGATATATGTAAGTGATCCAAAACTTTCGAGCTAGTTGAAGCATTGATTATTTGTCAAGTAGACAGCCTGCCAATGTTAAAGCTTTATCCAGTTTCAGAATAGGAATGAAAGTGTCACATAAATGATCTCTGTTGTCCATGATGTTATCTGTCAATTACGCGAATTGTTTAACCAATCCAAATGGAATGGACTATTGTAACTATAACATTGTGTATGTTTAACAAATATGGTAGTATCATCTAGAGCTATGGGAGAAAATATAACTTTGTCAGAAACAAACTCTATGAGAGAATCATTCAGATGTCTTATATAAACAAAATTGGTTTAATCTTGAAGGAATTTCTACTTAAAAATCCAAAAGGCATTGGCTAAATTATTAGGTATACTGATAAAATATTAGTTTCTACATATTTTTATTGTTATTGTGTTTGGTTTTAGTGTTTTGTTTCTTAAGTGTCCACATTTAATATTTTGTAAAAAAAAAACGCTAGAAACGCTAGATTGCTGTCCAATTTTAATCTAGTATTTGCTACCAACAAATCCGATTCGGTCCTTGTATTCATCCCAAAACATTTCCTTTTGTAAAATTTTCTATTTTTTTTCGTTAAGGAGAATATATATTTCTTCGAGCATTCTAAGTGAACTTTATTTGCTGAACTTTATTATTAATTATTATTACGAGAACTTTGTTGGTGCTTATAGTTTTATCAATTATTTGTTTACGTGTAAAGGTTCTTCACAGTTAGATCCTTTGGGAGGTATTAATCTGTGTACTATTTCATAATCATTAGGAGTTTCAAATATAAAAACCCACACATTTTTTCAAGTTTATTATTTTACACGATTTAAATTTGTCCACATAATTTTCTCGCGGAACTCCAATGTCAGACAATGGGAGCAATAAGGAAGACATATGACCGTAAGATTCGTTCCAACGTCTCCTTGACAATATCCTTCGCCTTTCTCTCACCAAGGGGGCCGAGCCCCCCACCGCCACACTTCCGAGGTAGCCGAACTGCAAGGTGCAATGCATGGCCAATCCACCAACTTTCTTCCTCTATGCTTGTCGCGGTTTGCAGATTACTCTATGCTTTCTCTGAATTTTGGATGAATGTGAGATGCGTTAGTGTATCAATATTACCAGACTATTCTGTAGGCATTGACTTTGAATAGGGAAAGAACCATTTTCATCCTTTTGTAAAATCTGGTACCCAATTTCGTGTGTGTTCATGTTGGTTACGTTTTATGCGATGATTTTGACAAAACGTGTCTATTAACAATTTGCGTCAACTGTTTCGATGTCATCAGAAGACATGCAATGGTTTACAAAATATATGTTACATTTTTAGTTCAATTATATTTGCACTAATAGGAACATTTAAATACAATTATATTTGTATTGTTGGAAAAAAATTAAACAACTAGTACACAATATAACACTGCATCTACATGAACCAGACATAAATATATCTTCTATACTTTTAGCTGGTCCATAAGGGTGACAAATACACAAGTGCATGTTTTATCTACATGATAACTTTACATTCGAAATTTATGATTTTGTGGTATGAATTGGAAGAAAAAGTAGGCTATAGTTGAAACCCTACAATAATGAAGGTGTGATTACAAAGTTATTATATGTGGAGTTGCAAGAGTTTTTATAAACGAATGCATTGAATATGTTAGGTAAAAGGGTACAGTTTCTTAACTAATATCGATTGGGACTATCGAATTGGAAATATCGAATAATAATCGATATTTTTAACTATATCAATTATAAAATGAAACTGTCATAACCTAACCTTACTGACCAAACTTGATGGTGAAAAAATCGAATTAAGCTTTACTAATAGAATCGACAGTTCCAATCGATATTATCCCAGTTGAGTGGTTATAGTAATCGCCTGATGATCAAAAGGTTGCCGGTTCGATCCTGAGAAAAGGCAGTAGCTTTTTGATGGTTCGAAACTGGACCCAGCTGTCTCTGATCATTGGGCTTTAAATAAAGGATCCTGAATAATAAAACAGCTGATATTAGTCAGTAACAACGCTACACAGATCATCTCACACCATTCCATTATTACTCTTACCTTCAATATTATATTTGGGTTAAAATATACACGAAGATGGCATCCCCATCTCCATTCCTAATGACAATGAAAGTGTATTCTTAAGTCCTTACACAATTTATACATACTCTTGTAAAAATCAAATTCCCACGCAATTTCGGTATTATGATCGCATTAAGAGTGAAATTTAAAATGCAAAGCACGAAAAAATTGTTATTTTAAAATTGGATGACCGGATAAAAATTTGTTCAACATGTAAAACACTTTTGCATTGTCTACATACTGCCATACATCACGTGACAAAGTACGGTTCACAACGCTGCCTTAACCATCTACATCCCGGAAGATGGACTCGCTGTGAACGTGCCTTCGCCGCCCACCTCGGCCGTGACCCGGGTAACCAACTACTAGGACGACGATGTAGAGGAAGTGAGGATGTGGAGCATACATCACTACACTCATACTTGGGCTGATGTACACTTGATATGAGTGCCAATTGATTTATTGGTGTAGCAAGTTTAAACACTTTCCAAATGATCTTAAAATTCCTTGATTTGAAGAAGGCAGTAGATTTTTTAACTGATAATTTATGTTTTCTTGTAAAAGTATGCGTGCCCGGGCATCTGGAAAAATATATTACCTATCCTGTTGGTATATAACAAAAGAGGTTTCTAGAGATTCCTGCTCGTCTTCAAAATTGTACTTATATATTAGAGTTTATTTTATTTCATACTAAAAGATGTCTGGGCCGATTTCTGGGTTATATTATGGATAACGCTAGATTATACGGTACGAATCTTAGGTAGTTTATTTTTAAACAATTACAAAAATGTATCTAATTTAGCACGATTTGAAATATGCAAAACTATACCTATATTCGAGGGAAAAGAATAATAATAATGCATAATAGTTTAGCATTGTAAAGTTTTATGCCAGCATGATCATTGTTGGTGGATTGTTGTTAAAGCGTAGAATAATCAAGACTTCCTTTAAGATTTGATCATTGACTGAATACTATCTAAAAGTAAATTCCGACCAGATGTAGAGACCGTTTTTATATATTGGCTATTTTATTCATTTTAATTTCACCAATTTCAATTAGGAAAATTTTAAATTGAATCGTTTATTGCAGAAACCCAACCAACATTTGTTCACAGTTGTGTGATTTATGCAACAAACGATGCATTTCAATTTGAACATCATTAATATACTAAAAATATAAATAAAAAAAAATTGGTTGTGATGTTTCTTCAATAAACTATCCGTTTTGATTGCATTCATAATGGAGTAAGAATTTCGTCTGCAAAATTAGAGGAAACAATTTAACATCAATACTCTTCAGCGTAGCTATAAATAAAACATATGTGAAAACAGGCTTCAGGCTTTGAATATTACTGTACATTAATAGTCAATGCTTTTTTTAGGTTATAGAATAGGATAAAAGGCTACTTTTAGTATCCTGAATACATTTTTCAGTTTACTATACCAACTTATAATCTGAAACTGTCGAAATGTTATATTGATTGGTCATTATTAATAAAGAACCATATGTTTCAGACCTACATCGGTCAAGTCCTATTGTCCGTCAACCCGTACAAGAATTTGCCTATCTACACACCGGAGACTATCAAGGCCTACCAGAAAGTGCATCTGTTCGAAGCGCCACCTCACATGTAAGTAAACAGAAAACTGATGGTAGTCATATATACCCAGTGTGTAAATGAAGTCTTGAAGAAAATCTGTATTTTAAAAACCGAAATAGATAGAAATTTTCTGTTTGTGGCAATAATTAATTGCCCCATAGCAGGGTAAGGGATGGCCTATTTTTTCAAATAACAACCCCTATTGAGTGACCCCTCATTTTGAAGGGTTTGCCAAAAGAAACACAATGACGCAAATCCGAGGTGAATATCTCACCCCTAGCCAAAATGGCGGGTATTTTACCCTTAATCATATTAAGAATCGTATCCAACCGTACGTGTGAAGGTATGTAAATCTTCATTTATTCTGAAAAAATAATGTTTTTTTGTTTAAATGGGTGCTTTTTCACAAAAATAAATTTTTTGAATACCCGCCATTTTGGCTAGGAGTGAGATATTCACCTCGGATTTGCGTCATTGTGTTTCTTATGACAAACCTTTCAAAATGAGGGGTCACTCAATAGGGGATGATATTTGATAAAAATAAGTCACCCCCAACCCCCTAGTTAGGGGGGTTAAAAAATATTGTTGATGTGAAAAATTGCTGAACTTTTGTTAACATATTATTGCCACAACAGAATATTTCTATCTATTAGTTTAAAAAATACCGTTTTGTTTCAAGACTTAATTTACACACTGCATATCTATGATAGTACTGTAGTACGGTCCTTTTATGTAAATGATAATCGAAAGTGGTACTGTAATTATATCATTATTAACTGATGATTTGATTTCACATTATACACGATGACTTCAAGGAGTTCACATTTCCAATCAATCTATATCTACTTAATACAATAGGGTTTTTCTCAGTTACATCAATTTTCTAGCCGTCCTACTTTACCAATTTTTACGATCGAGGTGTCATTTTAAAGCTTATGATCCTGTGCCCCTGTGAATGGTAAAAAGGAATTTCCCTTATGGCTTCGCCCCTCACGTTTAATTCATTTCTAGAGTCCATTTTCAAATATCCTGTTATGCTGACCAACTTTCTTCATGAGACTTTAAAAATAGGGATTGTAAATTAAAAGCTGTTTCTTCAGTTGAATGTTTAACCGGTTGTAAACAAGAGACTAAACAGTTTATGGAAATGTGTTTTAAATAGTCTACTTTTTGACGACTGTGACCTGATTGAGGTAGATTACTCTATGCATCTAATAACAGTCCTAAACAGACATAACCTTGAAAAGGTAAATGGCTGGTATTGCACTGGATTCATTTTAGCCTCGAAGGCAGGTTTTGGACCCTATACAGCTGTTTAATAAATTCCCTTAATTAAATCCCTTAATAAAAGCAGCTGTCTGCGCACAGGTCCCTTTCGTAAATACAGTATAATCTTCTGGTTTTAATGTATGCTTAGTCTCGTGGCAATAAAAGCATCTGAGCACGGCCACTACACAGAACGTGATTTGCAGGTCTTTGGCGCAGTCACGATCACAGACGAATAAAAGAACCAGACTAAATAATTACTCTGTGCTTTGCGCGGGAACAGCTGTTGCTACACGGGACTATAGTTAGTAAACCAACTCTCCAACACCTTCATACAAACATACTGTGGTTTAGCTTATTATACATTAATTATAATATTATGTCTGTTTGTATATTGTAATTTACGCTCGTATGCCATTTTATTTAGTCCATAGTTTACTACAATTCCATTGCCGAACCTTATTAAATTACATATTTGTTTATAGTTATAACCACTGCAAAAATTCATTCCATTAGTTTGAGGCCAGGTAAATACTTCAATCTCATCGTCAAATTATGTAATCTTTTTCCTCTTGGGTTTATCTCTAAACACCTGACTTAATGCTGGCGATAAAGATTATTATAACTTCAAGATTAAATTGTACAAGTTTGTTTCCTTGCTAAAATTCAGCATCAAGGTCAGCTTAGAACAAGAGTGTTTAATAGTTTCTTTTCATGTAATCTTTGGCATAAAATATATTGTTTTCATGCAATCATTTTGACTATCCATTTTCAACACTGACCCATTTTTGAAAACACAAGATGATTTTATTGTTAAATTTTTATCATCTTAGGTGTGTGTCATCACACAACCATTCAACTCCAATGTTATACAATATGGAAGCTTGATCACACCTAACACCATCATTTGAAATCTTCCAGTGACTGAGAATTCATTATTTTTTACCAAACCTGATTTTAATTTTGTTCCTGTAGCTCTTCTTTGAGTTAGTCATCCTTAGATTTCTAGGGTTTACATAAGCAAACTATGATAATTTATAACAATACCAATTTCACATTTTGGTTGTAGATATGCATTGACTGATGCCGCATACAGATCTCTAACTGAAGAGCGAAGGGAACAATGTATTCTTATATCTGGTAAGTTTCATTATTCTATGCTCTATAGTTGGAGAGAGCTCTAAGAATATAATATCATGTAAAAAATAAACCCCTCCTATTTTGATTGAATTATTGAATATTGTGCTATTAATGAACATTTAAAACCAATATGATAAATGGTAACTTGAAGGAGACAAAACTTGGATTTTAAACTTACCTACAACAATGGAATGAGATCAGCTGCTTGTGAATCACCTGTGACTAAAGCTTTTAAATTTCAGTTGCGCATAAAAGCGCAAATATTCCTGAGTAATTGAAGATAAGGCACATACTGGTGCGTTATTGCAATGTTTAGCTAGAAACATGATTGTGAGCCTTTTGTTTTAGTTGAAACTGTTTCTGATAATGGTTATGTGGCTCGTAATTTGCTTGTGATAAAAAAATGTTCTTCAACCATCAATAATAATCATGGGCGTCCATTGATAAGTTGCAAAGGGGGCAGGACCGTGCGTTAGCCAAATTTTTACCAATTTTAAAAATTATGTAAAAAAACAAAAAAATTACTTGATTTTAAAGTGAATTTAGTTAAAAGAATATGTAAAATCAACCATTTTGTATTTACACTATAAACATATTCTGGTAGAGGACACCTAAATCCCCCTTTCCACTGGGGATTATTCCTTACCCTCTGGCCCCCTATGACTCTTTATACATATTATTTTGTAAAATATGTTGTCATATTGTTGCCATCTCCAAATAAAAATAATATTAATGATCTGTGTTTTTTAAATTTGATGTAGCGGTAACACTAAATCGTAGACTTTATCAATTATCAACATAAGATATAGTCTCTGAATTCAAATTCACACTCAAAGAATCTTTATTTGTTTCTAGCATAGAATATGTACATAAATAATGTCAAAAGAAGGTGTTGACAATTATAAACAAAGGTTTCTTAAAAGTAACAATGTAAAAAATAATTTACTTCCTATCACTCATTGAAAGAATAAATAGCTTTGTTGATGAGGTACTGCTTTAATTAAATTTTGAATTTTTTACTTGATGCCTCATATGTTATGCTTTTAGAAATTTTGTTTATACAATTTTAAACCAGCATATTTATTTAGGTTTCCTTTTTGATAAGTTCCAGAGTGTGAGAGCTCATTGCGATACAGCCCCGATTTCTGGTGTTAAATTCGTGATTGTTACAGATTAGCTCCAATTCCTGAAATCTATTCTTTATGGATAAAACTGTTTAAAAAACATTCATTCCAAAAACAGTCATGATGTTTTCTAATTAATACTTTCCCCCTCCTCAGGAGAATCAGGTTCAGGCAAGACCGAGGCATCCAAAAAGGTTCTCCAGTTCATCGCCGAGGTGTCGCACCGAGGTCAGGCCGAGGTGGTGAAGGATAAACTGCTGCAGAGCAACCCAGTGCTGGAGGCCTTCGGTAACGCCAAGACCAACCGCAACGACAACTCCAGCAGGTTCGGCAAATATATGGACATCTCTTTTAACTTCAGGGTGAGTTTGGAGAATACTTATGTCCTTTAATTCTTTTACAGATTTACAAAGACTTTTTGTGTGTGTATACATACATGTTCATAGTGTCCTTGGAGCGAATTATAATAAGCGAGAGTATGACAGAGGATGGGGGAAGAGTGCTTAAAAAAGCATACAAGTATTCAAAAAATTGTGAAATATGTATGTTTATATAAAAAACAACATCGTATTGCAGGCTTAATAATGATGTTTTGAAAACCTTTTTGTAATAGTAAAAAATATCATAATATTAATTTTGATAGCCACTGGATTACTTATATGACTTTTTAAGCTCTGTCTGTAGTCCAAAATTGCGTCTAACTTCAATTATTTAATGCTGACATGTTTAGTTACAATGTGACATCCTCACGTCGAAAGCATAAAAATCTACAAAAAAAAAAACAGTACATACACACAAGACATTTAAACTCAAAACAACATGATAGTGCTATTATGAAACGGCAGACCAGTTGTAGGTAGACTTGTAGGATAGCCACCAAACAGCTTTAAAAGTACCAAATTTTATAGGGAGCGAGGAGGACCCCCTTTCTTTCTTGGGAGGGTGTGGAACACCCGGTTTCTCCCCCTTGCCATAGTCCTAGAACCGCCACTGTTTAGATCTCTTTTACTGATTAGTTTAGTATAACACCTAGAAACCCTTATCTACATATTCAAACAGCTGATTTTATATTGTGATGCTAGGGAGACCCTGTAGGAGGAAATATCTTGAACTATTTGTTGGAGAAGTCTCGAGTTGTTCATCAAAGTGGAGGAGAGAGGAATTTCCACATCTTCTACCAACTGTTGGCTGGAGCCCCGGACCAACTACTGGAGTCCCTCCAACTGGAGAGGGACATTAGCAAGTACATCTATCTCAGTCACCCGGTAAGTGTCACATTTTAACATGACTGGTCATAATTAACTTAAACGTTATGTGTAATAGCAAATGAGACAGGTAACTAAAAATAAAACTGTTTTTATAATACTGGAATTTATCTGTCAGTAAACCCATATTTGTGATATTTTTTGATTTTGAGATATTGGCATCACTGGATTCATTGGAAAAATCTGTATCGACTTTTAACATTAAACCTTTTCAAAACTCACTCTTTCCATTCTAATTTAATGAAGAAAGGCAGGTATCTTTGCAAAACTAACTAATTTTAAGGCCCTTGTTGTTCCATAATTCACTCATTACAAACAGTCAATCAAAATGCTTTATCTTCATGATGTTCACCTGAATTTGTGGCCTTTTTCTATCTAGCCAATAACATTCAAATTGTCACGTGACTCTACTATTGTCAGAGAATGTCATGCCACAATTGTATCATACCAAAACTCACTCCTTACAGATTTTGAAGCTCAATTTCAGGCAAATGGCTGATCAGAAATAGAAAATAAATATTTCAAGAGGTTTCAGAGAAAATTTGCCACCAAGGTAACACCCTAACAACTGAAAAACATGATAATTACAAATTCGGAAAAGGTTTTTTTTAGTTTGTGTAAAGTTTGCTAAACTGCAATGAGTGAGTTTTGGAATGGAACGTGTCATTTTATTTGCACTTTTGGTGTCATCCCAGGTTCAAGAATTTGAATTATATAAAAGTGTCTATTACCTTATTTTTTTACTGATAAAATGAAAAATAATTTTTATAGACAAAACTGTTTTCTATTATTCTGTTTTCTCAGGAGGCCAGTACACCTGACCTGGAAGACAAAGCCCACTATGATGAAGTCAGAAAGGCAATGACAACAATAGAACTGAGTTCCACAGAGCAAGAGGAGATCTTCCAAATTGTCTCCAGTGTGTTACACCTTGGAAATGTGGGATTTGTGGAAGACGAAGGGAAATCAAGACTGACTAACTCCATGGCTGTTCATACAGTTTCACAGGTAGCTTTGATATTTTCCTTAGCTTAAAGGTCAGTAATAGTCTGTGGTAACTATACTTAATATGCCACTATAATATCTTTACTTATGATATATGCAGCATGTTATTTAAACAAAAGAACTAACGTCATAGCTGGTTTTTACTTAAATTGTGTATGGTCATCTTTGTTGTTTTGTGTTTTTTAAAGCTTTTTAAAGTAGGACAATCTCAGGCATCGGGAATAGTTGATAGCTGAGTGGCTATATAGTTCTCACCTAGTAATCAAAAAGGTCACTGGTTAGATCCTGAGAAAAGTCAGTAACTTTCGATTGTTTATAACTGGACCCAACTGTCCTTGATCATTGAGCTTTTAATACATGGTCCTGACTAATGAAACAGCTGATCTTAGTAAGTAGCAAAGCTACACAGATCACCTCACTCCATTCTACACTCCTTTCAGATATATTCAGCTTAAAATATGCATCAAAGGGTGTGCCACTGTATTCAAAAACCGATTATGTTGTACATAAATTTAATCTTGACTAATATTTGTGCAAAATCTCTTTCCTTAGTACATCAAACATTTGAATTTCCCAGTTACTAGGATGCAGTGAGTTAGATCTCGCCCAAGCGCTCACACACAGAACGATAGACGCTAGAGGAGACGTGGTGACTACTCCTCTCAACAGGGAGATGGCCGTGTACGCGAGAGACGCTCTAGCTAAGGCAGTCTACGATCGGCTGTTCACTTGGCTCATCAACCGTCTCAACACATCTCTGCAACCCCAGGAGCAGCGAGGACAGCTGGTTGTTATGGGGATACTAGACATTTACGGCTTTGAGATCTTCCAGAAGAATAGGTGTGTGCCAAAAGGGAGGTTGATGATAAAGTAATAAATGCACATTGAGCATTTAATTTTTCTTTTAATTTCTCTATATCTAATTAACATTGGTAGAAATTGAAGTTTATTTTGTACTTCTGAGTGTCTGATGTCATTTTTTAGTAAGGATATAGTTATTTGTGTAACTAGTGGTGAAAGTGGCACTTTGCTGCACACGAGAGCAATGTTTACACATCTTGACTAATATACTCGCCTGCGGCTCGTGCGGAATGATCTCGAGTGCAGCAAAGGCCTTTTTCACTCGTGTTACACATTATATTTTTCCTACAGTCACTATAAATCATATAAATAATTAGTCTTTCAAACACTATACAACACGTTTTTAGATTCAGCTGGCAACACAAATGGTGCCCTTAGAGAAAGTAGTACCCGCGGTCCGTATCACTCCGCTATTTTTCCTCGGCAAGAAATGTGCTCCGCGTTTTGAGAATATAGTCCCGTATGTTTTTGTAATTTGAAGTGGTTTCCGCGCCTAAAAAAATGCTTTAAATGTATTTTTTTTTTGTTTATTAAGATCGTAGGAATGTTTTAAAAACGTTTAAAAGAAAAGTCCAGGAAGTTCAGAAATACCGAAACTATAAACACGAAATGACAGGTTAAATCGAAGTTATAATAGTCAATCAGCTGCTCATAGTATTATTATCTTTAAGTGTTGCCAACCTATTTCCAAGCGTACACGGATTACGTGCATAATAGAACCACGCTGTTTTGTGTTGTTTCGTTGGAATCCTGATGTGCGGCAAAGTATAAACCGTACGGCAAAGTATAAATATGCAGCAATTAGCAGCTTTCTGTACTATAAACACTACAAGGAAGCCAACTTTGTCGGGTGACTGTAGGAAAAATTTTTAGACACATCATTTGAGATAATTATGAAATTGAATGAATTGTAAACAATAATTTGAATGAGTTGGCAAATCTTGTCAAAAAAGAGTTTTTTGTTTTGAACCTCAAATTGGACCAAAATAATTTTTTTGCTCTTTGTGGCAACAAAACTAAGCTCTCATTGACTCAATCTTGTTTAGACTGAGTGTAATTCTACATTAAAAATCCCTTCTATCACTAAACACAAGAACAATAATTTTCCTTTTGGCGGAATGTTAACACAATAAGGCAACTAAACATTAGTTTTGTCTACAGGTTAGCCAAGAAAGGGGTTTTTGAATCATTTCTTTCTTTCTTTCATTTATCTATTATGAACTTCGTGATAACCACTACACCCAGGAGATTTAGTACAGTGCTAAATAACATCACATATTACATGGTCTTAGGAGTGGTGAAAAAGTGACCAACTAACTTTCATGGTCTAATTAATTTAATTTAATGTTTTATCATGTTCTATTAGAAGTATAATACCTGTCTTTATGGCCAGATCTTGGAGTTTTGTCCTAATATGTTCTCTAAATATTTTATCTTACTTTCCCCCCCAAATATGAAAGAGTCAAACAGTTCATCTTATCATTGATAGTTACATTTGAAGGTACTGTAATTTTTTAAATCAATGTTGGGTCGTCTTTGCGAAAAATGTGTTTTGCAAACAAACTTACAACATGTACATCTTTTTTACAGTTTTGAACAATTCTGCATCAACTATTGCAATGAAAAACTGCAACAGCTTTTCATTGAACTGACACTGAAATCCGAACAAGAGGAATATTTGAAAGAGGGTATTGAGTGGGAGCCTGTATCTTACTTCAACAATAAAATTATCTGTGATCTAATCGACGAAAAACATAAAGGTAAGACAAATAGTTCATTGAATGTAACAATGTTTCCGAATAAGTCCACATTCGATAATTTAATATTTCAGAAAACATAGTTAAATCATTTTACAGTCAGAGGTAAAATCGGTTCAAACCCTCGGTTCAGCCATTATCAGTTCAGATGTGCTATATTGGTTGTGAACTCTCTTACCATCAAGTGTCTCATTCATGCCATCTTGTTGTTCATTAGCCTTGAGTGCCAACATGTGCATGTGCCTGTACTTGGAAAGATCCAGAAGGAATTCTCTGTAGGTTGTGTATTTCTTCTGGTCGCTAATGTTTGAAGATCCGGCCCAATTTCTTTCATTAGGTTCTTTCAAATGGAGAGTTTCGATGGATCTACTGAACTCAGAAGAGTCGTTACCATTCCAATACTTGAAGATTGCGAACGCCAACCCATCCTCAATCATATGTGCTACGATTGGGTCTTTGGTGACCAGAAGAAACTCAGGGTTGGTCGGGTTGCGTTGTATGTCTACCAGCTGCCATGGAGAAATCAGGCTGAATCTGACGCAAGACATGATCTCGGCAAGATGTTTCTGCCTTGTGTCCCAGTCAAACATCAACCACCGAATCGCAGACATGAAAATCTCCATCTCGCAATGGACGCAGATGTAGTTTGACGAGAGGAAGATTATTACCTCATCTGGGTACAACTCAAGGAAATCTTGACTGGATACAAGAGTGAGGAAAAATCTCTGAATCCGAGGAACCATGAGTTGCAGAATCGTGGGGTTCTTCAGTTTACGAGCCTCCAGATACAGCATGAATGCTTGATCTTCACAAAACAAATCTTCGTTGTTGATAAACGCCCAGCATTGTTCTTCAAGCTGTTGGATTTTCAGAAATTGAGAAGCCATCAGTATTTCCAAAACGTTGTCTCGTTTCAAAACGGTGTAGCTATCTTTTTTCAAATCCAACATCCATTCGTAAATGTAAACAAAAGCTTTCTTCGAGACAGCCGATTCAGGGATTTCAACTCTTGTCTTTTCAGTGAAGAATTCAGAGTAGCATTGAAGCACCAGAAGGTGGCATCGGTACTCGTAGTTTCCTATTTTAACAAGAACGTCAGGGTTTATGTGATTTGTGATTCTATAGTGCAATAGCTCGTGCAGGTCTGTTTTTGGAGGTAAAACAAAATTTTCCCAGTCAATCGCTGAACCTCTATCAAATCCTATTTGTGTCAACAGCAGTTCTTCCTTTAAATAGGCAATGCCATTTTTTCTATCCAAAGAATTGCTGTTTAGATTACTTTTTGCGTGATCGTCTTCTCCTTTATTCTGATCCCCGTCCATATGTTGAGCATGTGGGGTCCTGAACATTCTAGAAGGAAAGGGTGGCATGTTGGAGAAAAATTCTGCTGGTAAATCTCTTTTATCCATGATGATAATACCTACTTCACCAACCGTTTAGCTTTTGTACAATCCTATATCTGTTATTTATGTAGAATTTTTAAACCCTCAAACAAGTTGTAACGAGAATTTTATTTCACATACAAAGATTTTAAAACAAAGTTATTGCCATTAGCTGTATCCAGGGGAACCAGACAACTAGATATTTCATTTTCACTAAAATTAGAAGACAATACAACCTATTTACTACAGAGCCTTTAAGTAACTCAGTTAACATTTTTTTACACAAAAAATTTTAATTCATCAACTTGTTTGCAATCAATATAAAATCAAAAGGTGTTATAATGTGAACATGATAAGTAGTAATATTGTCATGTATATTACAGTACATATTCAAGAGTTTCTCTGTTGAAAGGATGTTAATTTAGTTTTCTGCCTTTTTTTGTAAAAAAAAATTAAAATAAAAAGCACTTACTATATTAGTATAAAGAATGTTTCGTCTTTTTCGTCTGTTATTTTTTTATATGCTCATTTAAATTAATCAATCTATTGTTTAACACAAACCTTAATGTTTCATTTATAAATGGTTTGTAGGGATTTTTTTCACAAATACATGTGTAAAAACTTATAGGTACATAAAATTATTTAACTTTATCTTTGGATAAAACACAAACTTTTTCTGTAAACTGCAGGTATTATTTCAATTCTGGACGAGGAATGTCTGAGGCCTGGAGAAACGAGTGATGCAAGTTTTCTCAGCAAAATGACAGAAAAGTTAAAACACCACAAACATTTTGTCAGCCACCAGATTGCAGATAAAAAAGTCCAGAAAATCATGGGAAGAGAGGTAATAAATATTAAGTTAACTTAATTGTTTTATAGATTTGAAGATCAGGAGAATCACAACATAGATAATTTTGTATAGAATGTATCCAACCTATTCAAAAATAAATAAATGTGGAGTGAAACTCCTTGTTAATGTTGGTTACCGACTAATAATCAAAGAATTGTGAAGTAAACATATAATTTCTAAACAAACTGAACAGTTTCAGATGCCAATAAACTAACATTTGAACCATTACAGGAATTCAAACTAGCCCATTATGCTGGCGAAGTGACCTACTCCATCAATGGGTTTTTGGAGAAAAACAACGACCTTCTGTTTCGTGATTTGAGGCTCGTCATGTCCGAAACCAAGAACTCAATCACTAAGGTAAGATTATTAACTGTAAGAAACGTGTATCCAAAAGAAATTGTATCAGTATCCAAAATCAGCCTTTTCCAGTACAAGCTCAAGTTTCATGTGTGAGGCAAAGCCTAACACAAAAACGCAAAATTTTACATTCGAGGAAAAACTGAGCACGTAAGAGCTAGGTCAGCTGATAGTTTTTTCCTCACTCTAAATTAGAGCTTGGGAAACAATGAAGTTCTTTGATATCAGCTGTCATCAAGAATAGCTACTGGCAATTTTGTGTTTTACAGACTGTCTTCCCTGTGTCACAACTATCGTGCAAGAAACGACCCGAGACAGCTATCACTCAGTTCAAGAACAGCCTCGGGCAGTTGATGGTGATTCTGTCGAGCAAAGAACCATCGTACATCCGCTGTATCAAACCAAACGAGTTCAAATCTGCAGGTGAATCAGTTATAACAATATTAATCTTGAACACCCTTTTTGCCAGAGCTTAAATTTATTTACAAAATTCTATGTAGAATTTGCAAAATATTAACCTCTCAAAATTCTACATCACTCTTTAACAATTAGTGTGTAGTGTAATTAAACCTTGGGCGTTTAAAGATTCAATCATTTTTGTATGCAGGAGAATTTGACGAAAAGATAGTGTCGCACCAAGTCAAATATCTTGGACTGATGGAAAATCTGAGGGTGCGAAGAGCTGGTTTTGCTTACCGAAGGCGTTACGAGGAATTTCTTGGAAGATACAAGAGTTTGTGCCGTGAAACATGGCCCAAATACCATGGAAGTGCGAGAAATGGTGTGCAAGCGTTGGTCAAAGCACTGGGCTACAAACCTGACGACTACAGAATGGGCAAGTAAGTCAATTTAAACACACTTATTGGAGGATTCAATCTGCTAGGTAGTAAATCAGTTTTCTTGGAGTAAAACTAAGATTCTGTTTCCATAATTAATAATTGAATATCATTATTGTCATCGAACCGAAACAGCAGACATAATAATAAGTGTTTAAGTTTAAACCAAAATAAGTGAAGGACAAGTATAGAATAGAGTGCAAGGTTTTGTGTCGCTTTTTTTTAAATCAGTAGTTTCTTTAGCTAGAACAGTTTTTAAAGCATTGATCGAGGACATATTGTTTCACTTTCACACCATCAACATATTATTGAACTGACACCCTACTGATTACTTGGCATATTGTATTATAAACATTCACTTACCCAACAATTTTTGTAGCCTACATCCAACTTTTCTTTGCTTGACAAAAACATTTTTTCCCCAGCACAAAGATCTTCATAAGATACGCCAAGACGCTGTTTGAGACTGAGGATGCGTTCCAAGTAAGGAAGCAACAATTGGTGGCCAGGATACAGGCCAGGTGGAGAGGGTTTGTGCAACGCAGAAAGTACATGCGGCTAAGGGCTTCAGCGATCACTGCGCAGTGCTGGGTACGCAGATACCTGGCACAGAAACAGGCCGAGCGCAGAAGATGGGCAGTCACAATCGTCAGGAAGTAAGTGGAACCATTGTGATATGTTATTTCAGAAAAATGTAATTTGTAGATAAGAAGCTGTTATAACATGGGAAACTGAAATATGAAGATATGACCATTTATTTTTAAATATAGTAATGGATCCCTGAAATCCTATCCCTGACCCTGTGTGATAAGAATTTCCACAGTCCTCACCATTCGGACTCTTTCTTGCTCGTCACAGGTATATTTCTGGCACAGCATAACAGAGCTGAAAGCGCTTAATCGTCCCCTAAGTAATTTTCCTCTGTACTTGACTTATCTGTGGTTTTACACAACTTACTAACAAGAATCTTAACTAATGCAGACTAATTGAGTATTTTGTTTTCCTTTGATGTCTAAATTGATTATTTATGAATTTTTTACTGAGAGTGAAAATATGGACTGAATTTTTAGGCTAACTTTACCTGGATCGAAGAACTATTGACACATTATTAAATATGATTTAGGGCCGTTTTCGGTAGTAGTATTCTAACTAAAATACAACATTTGTACACAGCTTCATCAAGGGGTTCATCACTCGTAATGGGCCAGAGACCAACCTCAACTACAGGTTCATACAGATCGCTCGTAAGCAGTATCTGCTCAGACTGTCCAAGTCTCTGCCACAGAGTCTGCTAGTTCACTCCTGGCCACCCTGCCCTATCATCTGTCAAGATGTAAGAACTGTTAAACTAACATCAAAGACAAAACAATCAGTAACAGTCAAGACTCATAATAATCACTTATGGTAGATTTACAAAAAATATATCATCAAATGTTTATAAAAAATTACTGAGACCTCGACTTTGAATCATTGGACCTTACACTTTGAACCAAGACATCCAACTCCCATTATCATGATTAAGATACAAGTAATACAACATGTTTTTCTTAAGTCCTTTCTCAGGCCTGCGGTTGAGTTAATTTTTATCTTATCGATATTCAATTCAATACTCATACAAAAGTTGCAGCTGTCTCAACAATAAATAAATAGCTGATATGCTTTACTCCAGCTGATTATTTTCGAACCATTAGCACCAAAATGTATAGCCTATATTGAAAACATCTATTTAGCAGCAGTATAAAAAATATTCTGTCAAATTAAATTTTAACAATTAATAGGCTTATGAAAGTTTTGCTTAAATCATGTAACTTTTTTCCAGGCGTCCCAACAACTAAGAACCTTACATCGGCTGTGGCTCTCCCGCAAATACCGCCTGAGACTGACGCCTGATATGAAACTGCAGTTTGAATGGAAGATTCTTGCAGAGTCTCTCTTCAAAGGTGATGATCACAATTTTAAAAATAAAATTTATCATATATGGTACTGTAGATGATTTCAATGATTGCACAAAACATAGACGCGACTCTTGGGAAAGATATTTAATAATCTTCCCATGCAAATCGTATTTTAACTTATTATTGTTAACGTTACCTGAATGTGATAACAAGATGTATTCGCCTAACTACATAAATAAATAAAAAGTTTCAAAATGGGTTTTGTTTTGTAAAGACTATTTGAAACTTCTTGAGATATATTTCTGAAAAAGTCTACATTACACTTTTTGGATGATATATTAGTACACAATATATTTTATAAGCTTGTCATATTTTAAGCTCTGAGCCTTAATATAAATTTTATTAGTATGATTTTTAGCATAACAGTTAACCCAAGCGAAGGAGAAAAAATACACCATTTCCATATCCACTCTTTTTTAATGTTCACTCCAAAACATTTATAAATAAAAATCTAGTCTAATAATCTAATAACTACTTTGTAGACATATATTTGATTATAAAAATACATATTCATAAAAAATATGTATGTTGTACATCAGTGGTAGCTAAACGTGTAGAGAAGTTAAAACGTAAATGTGAGTTGCAGGCAAGAAGAAGAGCTATCCTGGGACAGTTGGTCCGAAATTCGTGCAGGATCGCCTCATGACGGAATCACAGAAAATCATGAGATCGAACTTCCAGGGCAGCTTGCTTCATGGAGAGAACCTGCTGGTAATAAAAAGTTGATGTTAAAAATCTATATGTTAGAATATAGCAACTATTTTTGCTTTTTAACTTGTAAAGATTTTTCATAAAATTTTGCTTAGTAACTTAACAAAAAGTAATTCCAAAATAAATGTTGTTTCTTTTAAAATCACAACAAGTTTATTTACGCTAACATTACCCTCTTTTATAAGCTTGGGGAATGTGTGTGGGGACTGGTCATTAATTAAAATTAATGAAGATGTATGTTGTTGGTAAATGACCTAAATTAGATAATCCTGATCAAAATCCCGAGAAATATCTTACGGCCAAAGTTGAATTAAACCTATTACCTCTGACTATTGAAACAACTTAGACTTTCTATCCCCATGTTAAAGTTTTGTTCATCAAAATCGTTGTAGTTGAATCGTTGTAGTTGATGTAGACCACCGACAGATTGTGCTGATCTAAATTACCAACTTCTGAGGAATTCACCAACCTTTTTACCCAATTTAACTTATGAAACGGATTGTTGTGAGCTATAGCAACTCTGTTAAGACACATCAACTATGTTAGGAACAACAATAAGGTATAAAATAGCATTTTAAACACTAGCGCATTCTTATTGGCTCACACAACTATGTTCTCTTTTAGTAAAACATTTGCGACAGCTGTTCCAAATAGCCGATGTCCACTTCAGTATTCAATAGTCAAAGCTTTTACCAACTTAAAGTATTTAATGAACCAGCTGCCTTTACAATAACCAATTTAATTTCTACAATGTCCTAACAGTACTCCAGTCCAGTGCACAAGTTCGACCGTCACGGTTACAAGAAGCGAGACCGCATCCTACTTCTGACCACCACCAACCTCTACCTGGTAGTGGAGGAGGGGAAACACTTCAAGAGCAAACACAAGCTCCCGCTGGAGTCCATCGTCAAACTAGAGGTGACGTCGGAAACCGACAGGTTCATCCTACTTAGGCTGAGCCCGGAGTTACAGAAGACTGACAAGGTTCGTAAATTTGTTGGAATAGTTCAACTTTTTCTCGAGAAGAATAAAATCTTTGAGTTAGATTGGGATTTTCAAAAAGTCCCCTTAGAAATCAATACTTAGCTCGACATGATCAGATTAGTGATCAGATTACTCTTTGGGGGAAAAACCATCCTACTCTGGCTTAAACCTGATTAATAAATGTACTAGACTGCAGAGGAAGAGGAAGAAAACTGCAATAAGAGTTGAACGAAGAACGGGCTGAAAATTCTCTATTCTCTTAAAATTCTATAATTTTTTTTAACAAAGTTCTAATAGTAAACCCACATTAATGCAGACTATTTTCTGAAGTTGTTTAAGTATACCTTCAAGTAGTCTTTACACTTTGTCTACAATGAAACACATTTTTAAGAAAAAGATTGGTGTATTCTATACAAAAAACAAACAAATGACGCTTAACACTGTCAAAAAAACCTTGTAAATTTGTTGTATTCTTTACCAACTTACTGTCAAAAGGCTGTTTGGATAACGTAAGTCTTCATTAATAGGGTGCAAGTTATTGAAGTTTTAGTGTTCTCACATATATTTATTCTTTTACTAAATTGTATTCATACCCTTTCGATTTTTTATCTTCATACACTAGGACTTAAAACATATTATGATTGTTATAGTGTAAAGTTTACTTTTCTGGGGCATGCCCAATTAGGCAACCTAGACAATATAATTGATATATTTGTTCATTTCCAGGGGGACCTGATTTTAGAGATGCCCAACATCATAGAGTTTGTAACATTCGTCATATCAGCCACCAACAAACATGACCTGCTCAACATCAACACCATCGAGAACGGACAGTAAGTTTCATGACATAGGTTTTATTCAAACAATTTTATAATTACTTGTTAAATTTAAAATCCTCACTGAAATTGAAAGCTTATCCCCATCAAAATTAAAAGGAAAGCGAAAATTAGATGAAGAACCAATTCAGGAATAAATAGGAAGTTATAACACAAAAATTTGAAGTAGAAAGATTTTCTTTTCCACAACATCACATGGTCTAAAAACATCTTATGTTTCAGAATCACACACATGCTGTCGGATGGCACACAGGGTCGCATAGACCTGACTAAGGGACAGAACGGCCCAGCGATCACTAAGAGCAAGAGCGGCCATCTCATCGTAGTGGGCTGATCACAAATACAATTCAAACAACGAAAAAGAAAGTGCAAAACAGAAATCTGCCGAAGATTTGTGAAAACATTCATCGGAATGAAGTGCTGAATCAGAATGAACTGTACAACAAAGTTTTTAAACCTAGATATAGGTATATAAGTTTTCAGGTCAACGAATTTGCTAATCATTACAAATATGATTTTTTTTTACATCGAAGACAATCTGTGCAAACAAAAAAACATGCTTAAGAGTTGGGATAACTTTTATCTGAAGACAAATGATGATTTTCAGATCACAACTCTACAAGAAATATTTCAAACCTAGTTAAGTATTTAAGTTTTCATGTAACAAATCTAGTAATTATCATTGTTTATCATGAACGGAAATTCACTGAAATGAAGTCACCTTTTTAAGATCACAATCTACTACAAAGACATATTAAGCTGAAGTACCATTTCAATTTGCAACAAATTTGTCAAGGTAAGAACAATTTATAAAACAACATTGTTCATAAAAAAAAAGAAAAATACTGTAGGATTAAAATTGACAATACAATGTGCTAACTTTAGTACTTAAGGCTGGAGAAGCTTTCTTTGTCTGTATTTTTATAAACTAATATTTCAAAAACTTGAGACAAATGTACGCGTTCCTCAATTACTATAACAAAAATACAACAATGAAGGAACGTAGTTTAATTTTGTAGTTAAATCAATAAGCTATATTTTCCTATTTACTGTATTTTACAATTTACTGAGAACATGTTTATATCTTAGAATAATTTATTGTATCTTATGTACATAGGCAACTAAAAATGTGATAACAATAAATATTAAAATAATGGGTTGTTTAAAGTTTTTTTGCATTCCATATAAAATCCTTAGTGTTATTTTCCTTAAAGCAATATTATGACGAAACCCCCCAATTTCTCCAGGAATAAATACTAAGTCATTACATTAAAACAGTCATGTATAATTTTGCTGTAAATTAAAAATTCTATCTTTAATTAGGATCATTAGGATTGTATGTGCTATTTGGGTAATACTTTTTAATTGAAAAAGAATCTTCCATCAATAAATAAATAAAAGGACAAATAAAAGTAAAGGTTAATAAAAGGAATTAAAATCAGTATTTAGGCCTACAGTATTATATGTACTCTATTATTGGCTCAACTGTTCTAATTGCTACAACTTTATCACGGGAAAGTTCAATCTAGCAGTGTATTCAATACCGTAGTCAAAGGCATTATTTGTAAACACCAAGAATCTAAAATACACAATTAACAGCAATTAATTACTAATTTAAAGAAAGAAAGAAAGCAAATAGTAAATAATACACATTAAGAATGTTGGGGTCCATATTTTAACTTGCGTGACTAACCCTTGGGTTCAAAATGAAACCTTATGACTACTAACCCTTCTTTCCCTCTAAAGTGAAACCTTATAAAACCTTTCCAAAGGAAACACAACGCAGATTTAAAGATTTCCTGTTTTATGACAGACTATCAAAACACTAAATTAGTAGTGTAAATTAAATTGTAGGCTACAAAATTGCATAACATTATGCAATTGTGTGGCTGAATTATTTGTCTAAAGAAAAAATTTTTTTGTCAAAACAATAATTAAGCTCTATAACAAATCAAGATGCTCCGCAACTATACTTCAAACAATATTAAATTTTACAAGAATTGAAAACCTTTCCAGAGCAACAAGTGGTACAATAAAAATAGCTACAATTTTAAAATGTAAACTTGTAAATCCATACAGTTTACTTAATATTCTTCAAAGTAAAAAAAGTCTGTGGTTGTACAAAGTTTTTCTCGTTGGCGACTGTCCAGCCATTACAGTGGAAATGTCGTTGAGCTGCCAATTGTTGCAATACATTCAAGTTAAAAAGGTACAATGAAAGTCAATTGAATCTCACTGTTTGTAAGGTGTGGTCTGTACAGGGTTTCTACGCAAAAAACGTAGGTAATGTAAGACTAAATTACTCAATTCCCGTTACAGCTCAACAATTATTACGTACATAATTTAGTCTTACATGTCCAGATCAGGGTAGAAAAATGGATTTTAACAAAAACTTTAGATAAAATATTGTAATGTGTACAGAAACAACGTAATTAATGAAAATTCTGTCTGGAAATTGAGCATTCAGTTTGAAAATGGTCAAACTCAACTTTTGACGTCCAAATTTTGTTTTAGCCTAGGACTACATGAAACTGCCTTACTGGCTTATCGCACGTACGTGATCACTTTCAATCATTTAAATGAAAGATCCCTCTATCGCCCTAAATTCCCAGACATTGCTTCGAGTGACTTTCACTCTTTTCCCAAAATAAAGAGATTTTGTTATCAGCTCAGCGCTTTGATAACGAGGAGCTCCAGTCACGTATCACCAAAAGACTCTCAGATTGCTAATGGCGACGTTATAGGAAGAATTGAATTTCTTAACTTGTCCACCACTATGATAAGTTCCTCGATTTGTTTAGTGACTATGTAGAAAAATAGTATTTTATTTGCTCTTTCAAATGTATATACAGGAAAAGGAATGTTAACTGAAAAACCCATTAAGTCAAAGCACAGGTTAGCCAAAAAGCATAATACAAATCCAAATCAATTAGAAAATCAGTTAGACAGTGGGAAGTGTTTGTCATGCCATAAGTAAAAGGCTTAACAAAAAATACCCTTGTACTGTTACTGTTTATTTTCCTAGTGATGGCATTGAAGGCATATATTGCCATAGAACATAATTTTAAGAGGAGTTTAACTTTTAAATCAGTGTCAACATTTTAACTAAAGTAGCCTACATCAGTAGGTATTTTAAGTGATAGAACAATATGAGACAAATAATCAAAACAGCAAAATATGGATGGTTCGGTCACACAATAAAATAAAGGAAGGATAAGTGGCGGAAATCTGATTCAAAAGATTAGTGAGGAATAGGATGTATCCCTAAAACTAGAAGCATTGAAAAAAAGCATCTTGAATTTTATTCTCTAGGTGAGAGTTATGACATCGTTGCAAACATACAATTGCCTACAAAATAATAAGGAATATGGAACACCGAATAGCCAGGAATTAAAATTAAAAAAGGTAGCAGGATGGTTTGTTTCCAAATTCAACGATACAAGTTTAACGATTTATTTTAAAAGTTACCTTAGAGAAAGTACAGAGATTATTTCTTCTTCTTGGGTGAAGCTTTCTTTGCCTTTTTCTTAGTGGCAGTCACCTTTGGAGACTTGGCTTTCGCCTTAGTGGCAGCAACTTTTGGTGTGCCAGTCGCACGAGATCTGATTTCTTGTTCAATGGCTTCATTTAGATTCTTTGAGATCGCCTTTTTGATTTTCTGAACCTCCGCTGACTTTGCTTTCTTCGGAGTGATGGGCTTGCCTGCAAATAATTTCATCCATAAGAAATCAAAGAGTTTCAATGGGCTGAAGGCAATAACTTAAGTCTTGTGTTTTGCCCGACAGCATTTGTAGAAGTCATACCTAGTAGGCTATTTCACACTTGTCTTTAAGTTACTCAGTGGTGTACTTAGTCATATAATTTTCCACAGCGAGAACGTTTATCATACTCTAAGGACAAACATAGGTTATCAATATGGTACCAAACTAAATTAATACCCCTATTAACTTAGGATTTTTTTTTTAAAGCAGAGTGACACCACTGGTCTTAGGTAGCCTACTAAAACTGATCTGACCTAATTTTACTCTTCAAAATCGACCCCACCAATCCTTAAACTCAAGATATTCAGTTGGAATGATAAGGATAATGGTCACATTAGTTTCCTCATTGGTAAATTACCCGTGTTGTTATGAGTAAAACTATGCTGTTATGAAAGTAAACAATATGCTGTTAATGTATGTGAAACTTTTCAATTCTTAGAACTGAACTGAAACGGCTAGGGCCTACCTACTTTAAAAAACAGTCGTAGGCTAGGTAGGCCTAAATATATTTAATAGGCCTACACAGAAGTTTAAGAAATGATTTACTTAAGTTAGGTATGAGGATAAATTGGAAAATGCTTCCACCAGCATCCACTAAATTAGGCTATCATACATTAGGCCTACGAAACTAAAGTTAACCTTCCAAGTGTCTCTAGTTTTGGTCTTAATGTTTGCCCATTTATTGCGCAATCGCAGGGTTTTATTAAAATGTATCTTAGAAAACTTAAAAACAATGTAAAGTATACTGTTTTATATATAATATCATTTTGTTTGGAAAATTATGGGCTTCAATGTAACATAAAAACATTACAAAAAAAGTTCAACAATTTTTGTGGAGTCAACATTTCTCAAAAATTATAAAATAAATGAAAAAAATTTATGTTTGCGCTCAATAAATTGTTATAATTTATAGGTCTACAAATAGGCTATTTAAAAATAGCCACTTTGTTCAGAATTTTATGAGGATTCCAAAAATATAATAAGTTAATAGCCTATAAGAAAGTAGGTTTGCAAATAAATAAGTTATGGGCAAAAAACAGATTTCGGTACATAGCGTTTAGCTAAGAATGCATAGCCTAACCATAGCTAGGGGAATCTGGCTGATAATTTACATCAATATCACTACCTACTTCTTCAGGATCATCAACCAGCCCTTCAAAATCACTTAAATCTTCTTATAATGCACCACGTTTATCACTAACTTACTTTTGATTTTTAACACTAAACAATGATAAACGTAATAAAATACATCAGTCATCGGTGCGAGGTTAACCAAGCTGTTTACAAATACGCACGTCAGCTGTCTGCTACAATATTTTTGGAACTAAAATGGGCTGCACTTTACTTTAGGTCCTACACTCATTCGAATGAAAATATAGATTATTCTATTGTTACATTCGATATATCGTTTGGTTAGTTAGGTTAGGTTAATCTTACCTAACTAACCAAACGATATATCGAATGAAACAATCGATTAATCAATATATGGATCGATATTTTCATTCGAATGAGTGTAGGACCTAAAGTAAAGTGCAGCCCTAAAATGAAAAGCGTATAGAAACAGTCATTTATTTATTTATTTATTTATTTCCCAACGGATTGCACCTTTTTACAAAATATGTGTAACAATTTAGATGGCATTTGCAATATTACTAACTAGAAAAGTAATAACAATGGTAATAACAAAGTGATAATAAATAGTAATAGCAAGTAATAACAAATAGTGATAACAATCAGGAGAAAGCTCTGAATCTGCTGAAAAAAACTAACTTATACCAACTCGATCCAGTTCAATCCGATCCAGTCAGTCCCAGAGCCGTCGCCGTAAACAGTGTTTGTGAGTCGCAAAAGCGACACATAACACTACAGCGGATGTGTTATGAGTCGCTTTTACGACACATAACACTCGGAGGGTTAATGGGCTGAAATGGATTAAAAAGTAAAGGGGATTTGTATTTATAATTTATTAGGCCTACTTAAAACTAAGTTATTGGCTAATTTGAATTTTAGACCTAGCCTAAATTTTAGATATATTAAAGAGAAAGTTAAGGTCTAAGTTAGCTAGAAAAGTTAAGTAGTGTTGGCAATATGCCTAGTAATCTGTGACACAAATTAGCCTAATATCATTTATTTACTTGGATAACCCTAATCCTTAGGTAGTCTTTTCAGAGAAATTAGATACCTTAACTTACTAAGGCTACGTAATAATTTTCCTTTTACATCTTTTCGCCAAAGTCAAATCATAACCCAGGTCACAGCTTGTAGCAATGGCCTATTTCACTATGAAGCTCACAGGCAAAACCACTTGCATAGAACAATGAAATAAAGGGAAACACTCACTTTTCCGAGAAATGGCAGGTCCTTTTGCAGCTTTCGCCTTCTTTTTAGCGACACTGGCAGGTAACTTTGCTTTGGCTTTTAATTTTCCTTGTGGCATCTTCTTTGTACTGTAGTTAAAATATGACAAAATAAGCTCACAACATTCACCCACAATAACACTTCAAAAGGTTAGCTTGGCCAGCAGTATTGTTGTTGGCTTGCTTGAAACCGTTGGTTAACCACAACAAACGCGTCATTATGATTACGAAAGAGCAGTGTAATTAAACAGCGTTTGGAAAACTATATAAACCAGCAAGTTAACATAAATTTTCTAACACACATAAGTACTATGTGCATCAAATATTTTTAAATTTTGATTTTGATTTTATTCCTAAACACGGCAAGCTAGCCGTGTTACTACAGCCATTGACTATTAAATATATTTTTTTTATTTAAATCGATGATGGTAAAAACGGAAACGTCATGATGTAAGGAATAATGTTGAAATCCTTTTTGTGTGTTTTCTATGCAATCATTATTTTTAAATTATTTTTTATTGTTTAATGGGTATAATTTCTTGTCATTGCCTTTGTTTAAAAGTATATATCTTTTTTTAAATAATGTTTTCTCTCTTTATTTTTTTTTTTTTATAAGTCCTCGCTGTGCCGAGACGTAGGAATTGGCTAACTCAGGAACTCGCTAACTCGGTCGTGTGGCGGAACTGGCTAACTCTGGAACTGACTAACCGTCTCAGTCAGGAATTGGCTAACTCCGGAACCCGCTAACTCGATTTTGTCTCGCGGCGGAATTCGCTAACTCTGGAAGTCGCTAACCCGGCCGCGCCCACTGCTCGGAGCGTTGCCAACCTTGTACGACAAAATAATCGTACACTGCCGTATTTCAAAATGTCAGTGTCTATAAAGATACAGTAAATGTTATTTTTTTTGTTATCAGTTCCACTTTTAACAGATAACTAGCCCAAAGTAATTAAAAGACAATTAAAAAATCATGAAAAAGTGTTTTTTATTAAACTGTACAATGGCCAGTTAAATGTTTATGATTTCGATCTTAAATATAAATGCCATCAGTATAAAAGAAAATAATAGAATATGAAAAATATTCAAAATTTAGTTTAATTGGTAATAAATAATTAAACCTCTACGAAAATAAGCTAAAATACACGCAAGTTCTTAAACACGGAAAACAGATTTAATTGTAATGTCGTAATAAACCAAAACCATTAATTAATACAGTCATCAACCATCGTAACTTTCATAATTAATTCATAGATTTTAAATTAAATGTTCGTCATTGAACCGTCCAACTTACGTGTACAAATATGATGACATAGACTAAGTTTTTATCTAGGCCTAATAGTTTGAACCAAAGCATTGTAGGCCTACTAGTAAATAGTTGCCTAATTCTAAACGATATAAACTATACCAAGCCATTGCTCGGTTCACCGTTCCCCAGTACTGAGCTACACTATAGACAATAGCTTTGTTTTTGGATAAGATAGAATCAGCCTGGAAAAAAACTCCAGACTTTTAAAAAGTAAGCCTACTGAAAGACGTAAAATTAATATTAATTCAACAAAATTGAGAGGATGACCCGGGTTCTACACTAATAGCCTACGATAAAAGAAATTTACAAGTTGTATTTATGCATAGACTAACTTTTTATGCAATCCATGAATACATTAGGCCTACCACTTTATAATGTATTGATAAATATTTATTTAAATTCAATAGCTCTATTTAAAAATACATAACCACTACAATGTAATTCTGTAATGACGTTTAACGTGTAAATTTTATTATGATTTATGATTTAAGGTTACTACAAGCCCAGTATATAAAATACGAACTCAAAAATTTTATTTGCAGAAGTTCACAAAATGGTATTTATTCGAATAAAAGAAACAAATGGCGGACTACGAAAATAGATATTTCATAACATGTAATAGATCCAAATTAAATGTGCATTTTTATCTTTTTCATACCAATAAGCTACTATTTAAGTAAGAAACCCACATATAAAACATACTCCCTTATATTAGTACATTTCTCATCCTTATGGATGATCTGAAGCATAGATAAAACATACTCCCTTAGTAGATTTCCCATCCTTATGGAACAGCTGAAGCCAATTTTATTGTTAGTTCTGTCCGGTTTTCTGTAGAGGTCGTGTTTTGTTTACAATTTGTTTCCCGTTATTACAGCCATTTAAAACCACGTTTAACCAAATAATTTGATCTAATTATAAACAATAACTTGTCCCCTAGTTATATAACCAAACAGTAAAGCACAAATCAAGAAATTAACCCTAAAACAATAGAAACAAAGTTTCGTCGACACTAGTGCCTTTGTGTCACGTACATGAACTAGACACGAAAAACGAGCTTCAAAATTTACAATGGGATGAGAAGTCTACTTGTGTTGGTTAGTCTATGTCTGAAGACAGTTGTATTGTTAGTTCTGTCTGGTGCACTGTCTTTAGAGGTCGTGTTTTGTATACAATTGTTTCTTGTTTTCAGTAATTTAAAACCTCGTTTAACCAAATAAAACGTTCTAATCACAATTAATAACACGTCACCTAGTTATATAACCAAACAGTAAGGAACAAATCGTGAAGTTAACTATAAAATAATAGAAACACAATTTTGTCGACACTAGCGATCAGTGTCAGCGGACATGAACTAGACACGAAAAACGAGCTTAAAAGTTTACAATGGGATGTAAAGTTTACTTGTGTTGGTTAGTCTATGGTAAGACTATAATGCATTTTCCACCCTAATAATCATAAGAACTTCTCTGTGGTTAAACATACTTCTAAATATATTTATTTTATCGACTACGTTGCTCTTACTCCTAATTAATCGTAGGATACGACATTATGGTGCCGATACGATATAGGTACTACACTTTCGGCAACACTGGCCAAAGATATTCGTGCTTGGCTCCCATTGGACGGCCCGCGAGGCTTCTGATTGGGAGTTAGCGAGTTCCGCCGAGGGACCGAGTTAGCGACTTTCGTACGAGGACCGAATTCGCTAACCCGGCTCTAGAGCGGGTTAGCGGGTTCCGGAGTTAGCCAATTCTGAAACCGAACAAGTTAGCGAGTTCCTCTCATCGACCAAATTTGAAGATAGGGCATTTAACATGGGGTTAGCGAGTTCCAGAGTTAGCCAATTCCGCGGACCCGCTGTGCCCTCTTTAACTCCGGGCCGCGACCTTTGAAGTGTCAAGGTCCCAATAAGTGTTGTAACAACAGCTGCTTTGTTTGGGGGATTGGTATTTACTGTTTTTGTGAAAAATTGTGATTTTTTGAGAATACAAAACTTGCTTACGGGGCTATGAAAATATTGACTTCACTTTAAAAACAATGAAATAAATCTTCATTGTATTGGTTTACAATTAATTCTATAATGTTTTATTTTCAATCCTTACATTATATTTATAGTTTATGCATTAAAATTTAAATTAATAATACGCGAATAAATGAGCTGGTGTCACCTGTCTACCATCTACCATGTTATGTTATCTTATGCATTGGGACGTCTGGCGCTAAACAACACTACTCACAAATCAAATCAAACTTTATTGTCACAAAACGTTTATACATAGCTTAGCTACAAAACATGTGACATTGTCAAAATTGTGGGTCATCTTACATTCTATGGTAAAAAATTACATAAAAATACAAAAATAAAAATACTGACTTTGATTTATAAATAGTTTACAACAAATACTCATTAATATGGTAGTAGTTTTTTCTATTAAAAATGTTGATGGAGTTTTTTTTTATGAAATTTTATTGGCTATATTTTTTAAACATAGTGGTTACTTATTGTACAGTTTTTCCCCATGTATGTTGTGTCTTTTCAATGAGACGCAGACGATGGATTGGCAATTGAAAATTATTTTTAAACCTTGTGTTGTATCTGTGATCAAAATTATCATTTAATAAATTTTCATAGTTTGTTTGTACCATTACTAAGGTTTTGAATATGTATAAATTAGGAACAGTTAAGATGTTTAATTCCCTGAACAGCGATTTACAAGATTTCCTAAAATATGAGAATGTCATTATTCTTAAAAACCTTTTCTGTACTTTAAAAACTTTAACTGAATCACATGATAATCCCCAGAACTCAATCCCATAGTTAATAACTGAAAAAGAGTAGTGGTATATCAATTCTAGTTTTGAGGTCAATATAATTACGTAGTACTAGCATTTGATAACAGGCTGAATTTAATTAACTAATAATATTATCAATACAATTACTCCAAGAAAATTTAATACCCAGTTCGAAACCAAGGAAATTTGCGCTGCCACTATGAGTGGTATCAACTGGTCCTGAAAGACCACTACTCACAACTTCACAATTAATACCGCGTCCCTTTGATTTTTGTGAATGCTGGCATTTTAGATTTACTGTATTTATGGTCTTAGTCACTAACAAGAATACAAGATCGCTCCATTCATCTCATCCTACACTCTTCTCCATTCATACTTGGCTTAAAATACCTGCATTGGTATGGCCGCCATTTCAGATTAAAGTATTCTCTGGCTTGTGTTTTTGCATCATGTTATTGATTCTTGAAAATTTCAAGACGGGGTTTTCTGTTTTTGCAAGGCTGTAGATTTTACAAAAAATTGTAGTTGCTGTTGAAGTAAATAAAAAGTCTACATAATTAATAATTGATAATAAATCATTATTTTCCCATTTTTTACCCTAAAAAAAATAAAATTCCACAATTTCTTTCAAAACCATTTTTTAGAGCTTAAAAACAAATAATTTTGTATTCTGAAGTGGTTTTGTACAATTATTGGTTATTGATTTGTAAACAATTTGTGATTCCCATCAGAATAAGTAAACTGGTTTTTGTGTTGTTTGCTCTTTTATGGATATATTTTTATCAAACTTGGTAAATTTATTTATTTTACACTAAGCTATTATATTTTACAAAAAAACATGCTTCTTACCCTCCACGTAGCAGCAAACCTAGGGACTCGTTAAACCTTAGTTATTTAAATACAATTTTAAAAGTGAAAATCAAATCAGGCAATTGGAAATTCGCTTAGTCTGTAGGTTTGCTGCGGCGGGGGTAGTTTTCTTACACCATGGTCTCAAAGGAATTGAACCAGCGATATGCAGATTTGATGGCATATAATCATCATTGATTATAAAGACATTTTGAAGTCCCCTGAAAACTAGGGGTTTTGTTATTCCTATGTACTATTGGATATAATAACCACAACACTCCTTTTAGGAATAAAAATGATCCATAGATAGTTTAATGCGCAATAACTTGAATATTAGCCATAATAATATATTTGACACGTTAATTAGACTGCTTCTAAACTTGTGCCTACTTAAAAGTGTATAAAAAACGTTGCTTGCCTAAATCGATGTAAAACTAACGTGCGTGGAGAAGAAAAATACAGTTGCTTTGTTTTGGTTTTAGGTTATGTGTTTATGGTTTGTCGGTTTGTTTGACCTGGTTAGTGGTTATTGGTTAATTGTTAATATTGTAGCCTAGTCTCATTTATTTTAGCTTTAGCATAGCCTCAGCCTGTTGATTTTTGTTTTAGAAAATGAAGTGACAATGTGAGACTGTGATTTGTGATTTAATTATTCTGGATGGTGTTTTTTGTTGGATGAGTGCAGCGCATTATGAAAAAGTGTGGTGGTGCTATGCATGTAAATAGGCCTATTCCTAATATTTCTGATTTTTTATAAACTTTGTATTACTAGCGCTTAGGCATAGGCCTAGCCTACTTAGTATTTTACCAACATGGAAAGACAGCAAGAAATAATTTCAAGAAATGAGTACATCAAAAACTTAAATACATTTTTGGTGACAGCAAAGAACATTCTTGGAGATACACTATGCAAACTGAACTGGAATGAAAGTGATACAATTGTCAAGGTAATTGTTCCAGGGTACGCCTAGCTGCCTTTAATAGGGTATTTTAAACAAAACTTGTGACTAGAACCACAACTTTAAAATAATTGTCAATTTAAGCTTAGGGCCTAGTTCAGATATGAATCAACCGTTATCTTAGCTTAGACTAGAATCGCACCTTAAAAACGTTATGTTCATAGTAAGTTTTTAATATTAATTTTTGTTCCTAATGCAAACGTTGTCTAGACATTGAGTTTACTTAGGTCCACCGTACTTATTTAGGTTTACTTGGATAGGGTACTTGAAGTCTTGTCGTTGACCGATGGTAATCTGTATGACTGCGTCAGATTTACTTAAATACTAAACAATACTATTTACACAGTGGAAATGGCTAAAAAGTGGCCATAAACCTACCAGATAAAATAGAGACTCAAACCATTTGTTTTGAAATTTGTCACAGGTTAACAGGTAGCTCTTACAAACGAGTCTTCCATCACACACTGAAACCTTAGGCTAAGAATAGTTTGTAAATAAGAATTTTATAAACCTTTCTTCTGGGGGTCATCTTCCCTTGATTAAATGAAGTAGGCCTAATAACTCCCCTAATAGGAAGTAATAACTTAACCACCCAAACATAAAAATTGAACTAACAGGCCGCAGTAGGCTATTAACTTACTGTTCATTGTGATGAACTTATTGCTCCTAATCTAGGTAGTTAAGCCTATAAAATACAGGCTACATTACATTGTGTTACAGAGCACAGCAAAACCCTTGGTTGCTTGTCCGTTAGATGAAGGCCATCGAGTTCCTCCAGGAAATGTGGAAAAGCATCTGGAGCTGTGTAAGTGGCATCGGCAAGGGTATCGGGATGATGACGTACCGCTCCCCTCTCCACCTGCAAGATTACCAATCTCATCAGTTGTTATTGGTGAGAACGCTTCTTGTTGCTTCTATTTAAGTACATCTAAATGTTTTAGTCTAAATAATTTAAAAAAATATCTGGTTTTACAATACCTTTATCAGTTCCAAAAGTAACTTTCGTCAACGAGTGTTACTACATGTTTTGGCGAGCTGCCATTGTCAAACACTTCAATACAGGAAGATGTAGATCCGCTTGAATAGCTTCGTTTTCACAACACATTACACGACATACAACATTTATACACGACACGTACGACATAAAAATAAAAATAAATACTTGTAGTTTGATAGGTCTATCATGAATATGCAACATTGCCGGTACACGAGCGGGAACAGACTCACTGTTTCTGTTCCCGCTCGTGTTAAAACGAAGCTATTCAAGCGGATCTACATCTTCCTGTATTGAAGTGTTTGACAATAGCAGCTCGCCGAAACATGTAACACACGTTGACGAAAGTTACTTTTGGAACTGATAAAGGTATTGTAAAACCAGATATTTTATATACAACAGTTCCGGGGCTACAACAATGAATTTTATTAAATAATTTAGTCTACTACATTTTTTGTAGTTGACCGAAGCCTCATGTAAAAGATCTTAAAGTTTATCACCCGTGAAGATTCACAAGTATGTAAGTTGATAGGCCTTATGGAATTAAGATAGGCATACTTAAAGGCATGCTTGGTACTAATGATAAATCACACAGCAAGAATCAATCAAATTACAAAGATGATATTAAAATAAAAAAATCACACCATCTCTAAACCTTTTAACCAAGTATAAACTTACATGCTTTGCTTAGTAATAAACAAACTATGTGATGCTCCTTGAAAAAAATTATTAAATTCATACAAATAAAAAAAATGTGGATGTTTTTAGATAAAACTACACAAAGAGACGTGATATTAAGAGCTGCACAGAATGATCCTTCGTTGAAAATAGGTAAGTCACTTGTAGGTAGTTTTAAAATTCTAACAAAATGTCTGCCCACAACACTTAGATGTTGAAGTAGCCTACTCTTAGTAGATTTTAACTTACACATTGGTTGGGGCATTGGCACCGGTTGGGGTTGTGTCCGAGTCTGCCCTACTAGGCTGTCACCAGAGACGGGCAGAGCAATACAAATTTCCATTGGTTAGTCAAAAATCACATGTTGGAAGGGTAGTTTTTACTTGCATTTTGAGGTTAAACGTTATACTAGTGTAGCCTATAACTTACTGGTTCTTTGTTTGTAGTTTTGCATTTTTTTTGTAGGTATCTGTGTATTTTGGATCAGCTTGTTCCCTGTATTTAGCAGTTCTAAGGGGGTGATATTAATGTTGTTCAGTGTTGCTAAGTAATTTTGGATCCTTGTAGGCCTAGAACTACTTCCACAACAACGGGAATGCAGTACATGCTTAGGGGTCTCAATCCCTCCCGGGATCCCGGCCGATTTTTGATACCTAGAAATCCCGGGATTGGTGACTTTTATGCCAGGATTAACGGGATCGCAAAACCTATATTTATTTTGATTTTTTTGTGAATTTTAGGACTTTTTACTTGAGGAAAACTAATAAAAATAGTCCAATAACACTTGAAACACATATACTCTTTATTTTTAGGACAATTATACAAAATGGTATAAGTAGGCCTAATGATCTTTTTGATTGGAAAATTTAATTATCATTAAACTCAATAGGCGAACGAATGTAGGCCTAAATATATGTTTCAGTTTTTAGACGATTTGGATTTACTTTCTGTAAATGTTATTACATTAGTTAGAACCTAATTACAGTAGGCCTACAAGTTATTTTGAGTTTTACTGTTGACATTAAACGTAAACAACGCAATTCGTGTAGCAAACGTAACATTGCAATCGGAAATTAAAGTATTATTTTCATTGATGCCATAAAATATAACTATTAACACACGATTATAATCTCATTACAGTATTAAGATTGCTTATATTTAGGGTCTATAGCTTTATCTTCGTATTTGGTTATTAGTGTGGTGATTAAATTTCTTACAATCTAAACATTTTTTTATCAAAATAATCACCAAATAAGCCTTTACTATAAAAAAAACATGAAGATTTCTTCTGAATTCAATATGGCAATGGGCTTTTACACAACAAAGTGAATGTGCAAACATACATTTAGAAGATAAATTCTGTACCTTTTAGTTAAATTTTTATTCAAGATTTTACTGTAACCAAAATAAAGAATAGGGTCTCTATTTAACAAACTCAGTTGCAGTAACAGGTTAGCTGACTAATGAGACATATTTTTTGCTTATTTCGCAACCTAGTTTTACAGGTGGAAGTACACTATTGGCATAACACCCCTTAACCACTTGATAGAGGCACAACCTCAAGTCTCAGCTTTACTGTTGAGTGGAATGGTTCCCTTTTTTTTATGTGTTTTTACGCCAGTGGCATTTTTTTAAGTTTTTTGAAAGGGAATGGACCGAACCCTGGTCTTGTTACTAACGTCAACTTCTTTGTTAGATAGCATCATTAATAAATTCATGTTCTCTTGCCAAGCATATTTTTCCGTAAATACATAAACCCTTTCTAAAGAACTTGTTAAATCCCTCGTCATATTTGCAATATAAAATTACCCTCCTACATTTAAGACATTTAGATCCCTACTACGCTAAAAAAAAACTCACAAATAATTTCAGGTACAGTATCAATAATGTGGTTTAAGCTAAAGTTACTTTAAGTAAAATGTGTTTAAACTAATTATTTATATTTCAGTGTACCTTACCAAACTTCTGGCTGTTTCGTGAAAGATGATATCCTTTTATGCATATCCTTTATGAGTTTAATGTTTATTTTAAATGAATGTCTCTTGAGAGCTATAACCTCTTACCTAATTTGTTGACCTTTTCATAAATCTAGATAGGCCTAGTTAAGTTTCCTCTAGCGTAGGGAAATGGCTATTATCACAGATATATTATATGCAGAGGACTAAATCAGTGGAAGCTACTTTGAGTTCTGGGTAAGCAATTTTTTTCAATTAGCACACTAGCAGTTGAATCATATGGTTGTACAAGTTTAACCAGTTTTTAGACATTACTTTTGACATTAGAACTTAAAATGCAAATGATAAAATCTACAAAACTGTAATGTAGAAGAGTTTTTCATATGTAATTCAACATTCTGTGAATATGTATCAACTTTAAATGTTATGATACAATTAATTACTTTTAGTATGTTTGAACAGTAACTATCTCCTTTAACTAAAATAGTATATATTATTACTAATACTTATAAAGAAAGTGGCATTTTCCAGTGAACGCTCAAGTTTCTGTGAGGCAAAGCCGAACACACAACTACTAAATTTACTTTGACTTATTAGGTTGTATGGGAATAGTTGAAGCAAGTGTGGGAAAAACACTTTCGGTAAAAGCTATGATTGATACTTCTTCTCTTGACGCAAAAATATCGACATATAGAATAACAGACATCAGTAAAATCAAAACTATTAACATTATTCAGCAATATGTTCAATTCATCAATCAAATAAATATACAGTTTGTAGTATAGGACAAATAAACTAATGTCGAAAAATGTTAACCGCAGTAAATATAACTGGAGGATTTAGGAATACAGTAGGCTTAATCTTAATTGCTGTTTAGTAAACTTGTGTTTTTTTAGTTACCTATCACTTTTTACTTGAACCTGAACCTTAAAATATATATTAAATTATGTTTGTTCTCCTAAGAAGGTACATTATTAAGATGTTCTCCTTAGAACATACTATGGATGCTGACCTTAGAACATAGGCCTACATTATTATGGATTCTGTCCTTAAGAATATATGTTATATGGATGTTCTCCTTAGAACTTACGTTATTATGGATGTTCTCCTTAGAAAATACATTATTATGGATGCTGTCCTTAAGAATATATGTTATATGGATGTTCTCCTCAGAACATACGTTACTGGTATTATTGATGTTCTTTCTTGCAAGGAAAAGTATATTCACCTGCAAGGGAAAATAAATACTCTATAATTTGTTAAAACTCCCAGAAATGTTTTTTTATTTTTTTTTATTTTAGTTTTTTATTTTAATTTAAACTAGAGAACGTCCAGTGGTAGAAAATTCTACCAAAAATGTGTAATAAACGGACTTCTCTATTTTCACCCCACGCTGTAAATAAAACATGTGTTTGGATTTTCTTCAATTTGTTTAGATTTTCTGTTTATATTTCATTGTTATTTCATCAAAATTATGGCAGCCCATCATGTTAATTCTTTTAAAATTAAAATTTTTTGGTTTTTATGTTTCAGCCTATTTTAATTTACAGTATAAAGACCACATCTATAGACAAATATCTTTCGAACAGTATGCGTAGATTTTCCCTGCGATGCACACGAGCTGAGAAAAAAGGTTTAAAAAAAACATGCTTGCCTGTTGATATAGATAGGATAGCTCGGCATAAAAACTCTTTGATTGTAAAACTTCACTCCTAACAGTAACCCTAATAATTGATCACATTGATCCTTAACTATTAACAAATACGTGCTGTTGTATGATTGCTAGGGGAGAATGTAATGGACAGAGAAGTGCCACAAACATCGGACAGGCTTTGCTCCGACTTCACCACAGACGAGAGGAGAGTCCTGTATGACTACGCAGTGTCCAGAACAGCTGGTACTGTGCCACAGCTGAAGGAATTCAATCTTACGTGAGTTAAACTTATCATATCAATAACAATTTGAAAACATATTTATATTCATATTTATATATTTGAATTCAGCAAAATAAAGTGTGGTTTGGGTTATAAGATTTTTGGTGGGAAGGGATTTCAGCTAGTGTACATGGGAAAATAGGATTCCAGGGGCTACCCACTAGCATATTACAATGTAAAAGTAGATAGATGAAATATCCTGACTCAAGCCAGCTGTTTTTTCATAATTTACGCTACAAGTCATATAGTACATCAAATTATCAGTGTTATGTTGTGTACAATTGTATTTGTGTACAATTGTGTTTGTGTACTGGATTAGGTATGTCCAATAAATATGTTGCTCTAATTTATTCCTAAATAGTCAGAGTATCTTCGTTCTTTTACTAACTATAGTATTTTTTTGTAAACAACAATAAACATTTTTAATTGGTTTTGTGTAAAAAAATCAATGTTACCCTAGTTTGCATACAGCTGATTATCTATTTTTTTAACAAGTATTTTTTCACATATAACGGGTTAAGCTTGAGTTAGCGTTAATGAGTTAAGCTGGGTTTTCGTGCTCTTCTTGTCTTAGTAAATTAATAGTATTGTTTTCCTAAAAGCGGAGCGGACCTCACCACAGGACGAGTGAAAGATTTCCTCTCCACACTCCGCTTATGCACTTAGGAATACCAAGCTTTACTAAGCCAGATTGGAGAACGATGTTGTTTGTTTCTATAAAGACAGTCATAAAGCTAAACAAGTTCCCTGGGTGGTGCTACATAAACTATGACTTTCCATTGTCAAACTATCATTTGTGATCTGAATAAAACCTTAAACTCTCCAACTGTAATTAAATTTGTGGAATTTCTCTATTAAAACACATTCTTTTAGGATGAAGCCTGAAGGACAGTCAACTCCAATGACCAGAGAACAGTTGATGGCCGCAGAGAGGGATGCTAAACGACGCAGAGTCAAACATCGGACTGCTAAAGTTCACACTAAGAGCAAGAACTACTCTGAGGTGTGTACATTATGAGTAACGTACTGATGATTTTTAACGTTGTAAATACTTTTTATTTTCATAGGCTGGTCATTTCAACTCCACAATGAAATTTCAAAACCAATTTTAGAAATTTAATTTAAATAAATTAGGCTACTTAAATTAATCATATTTTGGTTCCCAATTGCATTATTATGTGTCCCTTCATCCGAAAAATATCTGTGTTAAGACCAAAACTATATTTTTAGATTGCCCTTTTCCGCTCTATACTTCGTTCACAAAATTTAGGCGGTTTTAGGGGAAGAAATCCATCCCCTCCACTCGATTCTACCCTTAAAACAAAAGCTCAACAGCTGAGATTTGCCAAAACGCCAATCAGCTGTAACATAGGCCTATACATTAAGAGAAAAAAAGTAGTTTGGGAACTTCCCCTCAAACCGCCTAAATTTTTTGAACGGATAATACTATAACTCAGTACTGACTAATTTGACTATCAAAAATAAAAACCTTAAAACTAAATGTATTAACATTGATTTTTATTGGTTAATATTTGTTCTGTTTCAGGTTTTAAGGCAAGTAATCAATAATCAGATGTTAGCTTATGAAGATTGGATTCGAGACAACTTTGGAGATTCTGATGTCCCAGAGGCAGATAAACCAGAGAAGAATTCCGAGGAATTGAAACAAGAAAAACAGGAAATGGTGTGGCTTGACTGGGACTTCCGTGGTAACCCCCATACAAGGTGGAAATACATTTTAGAAAAGGAAAAGAGGCGGAAAGAAAGAGAAGAGAAAGATAATAGAGGCGATAAAGATTCAAAGAAAGATTATGAAAGAAGGAGGGACAGAGAGGAAAGCAATTCAAGAAAATATCATAGAGTTGAATCAAGAAAAAGAGATTATGATGATGAAAGAAGAGGTAAGCATCGTCATCACGACTCAGACCGTGAAGATCGAAGGGGAAGAGATGATGATAGACACAGGAGGAGAGACAAAAACTATGATATGCCATATAGAGATAAAATACGAAATGAATCAACTAGTAGAGATAGTAATTTTTCCAGATACAAAGGCACAAGTGAAGAAAAGAAAGATGAGAAATACAGAAGAGATAGTTGGGACAAATCCAAGTATACGAAGAGTGAATGTAGAGAAAGGTTCAAACAAGAAGATGATTATAGGTACGAACCAATTGAAAAACATTCAGGAAAGGGATCAGGGAATCATAAAGACAAAAGTATTGATTCTAGAATTAGTACACAAAATGATAAATATGGTGGTAGACTGGAACAAGATGAAAGGTCCAAAGAAATAAAGTCAGAAGATAATGGTGAGTATGTAAATACATCTTATGAGTCTGAATTAGTGAAAAAAGAAACGTTCGCAGAAAGCACAGATTCTGACTCTTCCAGTGATTCTAGTTCATCTAGTTCCTCCAGAAGAGATAAGAAGCGAAAGAAGTCAAAGAAAAAACATAAGCATAAACATAAAAAGAAGCACAGAAAGCATTGAAGTCAAGATCGAGTAATTTTTGTAGACTAATCTGTTATTTTTTTAAATAAACGCTGTTTGTAAAGATGTACAAGTATTATTTTTTATTCATTTCTTAGGTTTAGTTTTAGGGTTGGTTTATTTTAAGAAAAGGCTCTAGGCTAGCTAGAATTTTGTATCTTTAATGTTTACCAAGGCCTATATTTTTTTAGTTGTGTTTTAAAATTTTGCAATGAACTTGGCTTGTCTAGTGGTTACTTGCAGATTCTTTTACAAATACTGTCAATAACCAATAATGTTAAGCTATTTAATTTTTCCATGACTTGCTTTGAGTCTAATTTATACCTACTTGTCAAGTAAAAAAGTAGGTTTATCTTCAAACTTTTTCCTTTGGAGACCTCTTTTCCTACAAAAGTCCACAAAAATACCAACATTTTATATTTATACTTGGCAGTTAAAGTGAAATCAGGTACAGAGGAAACTTATGGGACGAACACACGCTTTCAGCAGTAGTATGTTGTGTTGTGGCTGTACCAACTATATACTTGTCATGAGCAAGTAATAGCCCGAGCGGCGAGCACTGTGCAAAAATTCCTATCACACAGGTCTTCCTCCGCCACGAGCATTTTAGTACATGAAGTGAGAGGGGTGGTGTTGGAGTTTGTCCTAGACACCAGAGACTAGTGCTAGACACCATTTAAGGTTTACCATTGAATACTCTGTATCTTCCCTGTGCATATGTTCATGAAAATGATTTTGTTGTCAACAAATATAAAATTTGCTTGTAAAGGATCTTGTTTTATATTTGAATCTCAATTGAAGTATTTTATAAAATTACAACTGCCCACGTTCTATGAAGTGTTGGAGTCTTCTGTAACTGTAGATTTTTGAAAATATGATGAGTTTTTGCTGAAAGACTTTTTGTTGAAAACCTCCACTTCCATTAAGATAGAACCTGTTACCAGGGTTTGTTAAGAATTTTTTCCCCATGGTAAGCATTTTTAGGTTAAACCCTTTAGAAAAGAGTTACAAGAAAGTATTAGGTCTGCAAAAACTATTGGTTCAGATGACATTGCCAACAGTTATATTGGCCAACATGGTAGTGTTTTGGGCTGATAAATCAGATGTTGCTGGTTTGAGACTGAACTATCTTATCATTGTGGTTTCAAATGGTTTGCTCATGTGACTTATACCATACCGTAACAATACTCCACTGTCTTTAGCCCACCATGCAGACCAAAGTATGGTAACAGACAGTCGAGGTTTAAGTTATAAAAAAGAAAGATGACGAAAAAGAATTTGATTAATTTATCGGACTCCTGCTGTGTAGTAAACCATATCTCAAGATATTCGGTAGAGTTGTTTTGTATTCATAGGTTTACAACTTAGTTGACAGGTGTTCAATCTAAACATTTGTCTTTGTCACCTTAACTAGGTTATCAGCTAATACATGCAAATGACATTAATTCGCAACATAGATAACGGCTACATGCTGACATAGATAATAGCCCTACATGACAAGCGGAGGAGAAGGATTTGCATAAAAATGAGCAAAGGTTATATAAGTTGTTTTGCCAACCTAAAGTGTACTAGTCTGTGTTCATAATGGTAGATTTTAGAAGTTATTTTATTTTTCGGATTTTTATATTTTTCGGTGTTGCTAGTGTTTGTTTGGGTGCTGCTTTTTTAGAAGAGCCACAGAGACAGCCGATACCTCCTTCTATTTCTTTTATATCTTCTCCATCATATGGTGAGTACAGTAACTAAAAAAATAAATGTAAAAACTAGGTAACATTTTGAATCAATGAAAACTTGTGTAAACAAAATGCACCAAAAAAATGCTTGTGTATGCAATACGTATTAAGTTCATGCTGTTTATATACACAACTAAATTATATTTAAGAAGTATTTCAAATACCTAAGATCATCATTACCTAATTACTAAATTAAGTCTTAAATTTAATCTTTTTTGGAGGGATGGGACCAACTGAACAGTTAAGACAGAATGTCTTTTCACTGAAAATTGGCAGATATATTTTTTATTTTGAGTATAATGTTCATTTAAAAAAGGAAAGAGATAATTAATTATTTAAAAGTAGTAATGATATCAAAAATCAATAGTAATGAGGATTATTTTTTATTTAAAGAAAGGTTAATATTCTCCAAATTTGGAAACGTTTTAGAACAGTCTATTTAGACCGTTGGGTATGTAACATAAAGAAATTATGTAAATTTGTCAAGTATTCACATACAAGTTTACGTGATAAATGACGGTAATTGCTTTTTTAACCTAGTTGTAAAGAGAATATAGAAGTTGAATTGGTGGTATCAGTGGTGCGGGGAGGGGGGGCGTGAGCTGAAGGGGCTGCGAGCTTTTACGGGGAACCAAGCCTGCGACAGGTTCTGCAACAAGGGTTTCCATTCAAAAAAATATATGTACGTTTTTATCACAAAAATTTGTTAAAACCAGTAAAAGTGCTAGGACCAGTAGTTTACCAACAGGTAAACTAACACTACTTGACCGATCGATAGAAATTCTCTACTAAGTCAAAAAGTTGTCATCAGTCATGCTCATGCGGGTTGCATTAACTGTCCTCGTGGCCTGCTTGAAGGCAGTATAATAGGGCCGTATTTAGAACCAATGTGGCCCCCGGTGGGTCACACCAGAGAGGCCCCTCTATTCTGATTCAACTGAATGATTTTTAATATAGAATTTTGTTTTTTGATAGATTTTTGAGCCAATGTTCTACTTGATTAGAAAGTATGGTTGGTACCGTATTGAAAACACTGTGTGATTCTTTTCTACTTTTATTTTTGCAATCACTTATGATGGTTTGATTTCTTTCTTATGATGGCACCATAGTCTGTGCCCGCGGCTCAGACCCCCCTCCTACAGGATATAACCAGTAATACCAACCTCCACTCGTCCTATGCCATAACCAGCCGCACATACTTATGGTCCCAACAATAAGTGTCCAAATGAAGTGGAGTCGAAAGAAAGACCCTACAGTGAAAGGGGAGTACTATTTTAAATGTATCAAAGATTTATTATAGACCGTGTATGGATTATAGATTATGTAAGTTTGACTCACAGTGATTCTATTCTAATGTTGACTGACAGATCAGCAGAACCTGTACTACCCTGAGTTGTCGTCCAGACTGTACCAAGGTGACATCTTGCAAGCTCCTCACGACGACTCTCGCAATGCCATCAACATAGAGACGTACAAGTGGCCGAATGGTGTGGTCCCATATGCGTTCAACCAGTCGTTCGGTAACTCTTATTGAAATATGTAGTTTTAAACCCGTGCTATTAAAAGCATGAAAGCACTTTTCTGTCTATATATTAGAGTGTATTTGTTTGTTTGTAAGATCGGTTCTTTGAACAAACCAAAAATAATGGACGGAAACATACTTACAAATGATCTTCAGCTGATCAATAAGGATAATGACTCTATAGTCTATACAGCCATGTTCATATTGTTTACACAAAGGCAGTTGGAGGGCAGGCTACCTGCCTCACTTAACTTGAAATACACTAGAGTAAGTAACTGCCTGCTCTATTTCCTTTGTGTAAACACAGCTTTAGGGAATGTGTTTATTTTATGGTTTTGAGATAAAAATGGTCTGAAATATAACTAGATCGTAATTATTTTTTATATCCCTCAGATGACCCCGATGAACAGAAAATTGTACGCAAAGCCATGGATGAGTTGGAGAGTAAAACTTGCGTTAGGTTTGTAGTCCGTGAGTCACAAACAGAATACATCAGTATCAACAAGGAAAAGGTTTGTATTACATTGCAACTCATTAGAAACTAATCGTAGTACAGATCTGAAAAATTTTTGAAACTATGATCATGATGATAATTTTGATGAATGTTTATTCTAAAAACACAGTATCCAAAGTTTCCAAAACTTAATTTAATTTAAACCATAAGCCTCAAGGTTTCAGACTGGTGTGTTGATCCTTAAAGATAATCCCTGGTTAAATCTTAGGGGTTGTATTATATAACATTGTCTGTATACCTGTAAGTCTCAAGCACTTTTTTTTAGGTAAGATGGCCTAAATTTGTCCATTTCTAAAACAACTTCTTATAACCCACTCCTGTATAGTTCTGTACTATTGTTTGGTTTCATAATGAACTAATAGTTCAAGAATCTATTCTTTAACAGTCTCAACAATTCTTTTCTCAAAGGATAGGTTCGAAAACAAAATAGTGTGTCAATTGTGTTGTTGTACCAGGACCAGGGGTGTTTTGCCATGATTGGCTACAGACCCAAGAGGGACAAGCCTCTCCCAGTCAACCTACAGTCTCCAGAGTGTTTAAGACACTCAGGCACAGTCCAGCATGAGCTGCTGCATGTACTGGGTCTGCTGCATGAACAAGCACGTCCTGACAGGGACGATCACGTCAAGATCATGTGGGAGAATATTGACATGCGTGAGTTTTTACCTTCTGCTTGCTTTGTCAAAGCATGCTCTCTGTGTTACCAATATTTTTTCATCATGTTTTTTAATCCAATCACCTGTCACCATTTGCATTAGCGCCTGACGGACAAGCATATGCACCAAAGATTCCTAAATTTGGCAACCTTGCTACATCATTCGGTTCAGTTTTCAAAACTACGTTGTTTTTAGTCGCATGGCTGTTGTAGCGTTGACTTTGGTTTCACCCCAGAGCTTGTGACAATAGTATTGAAAAGTTTTCCAAAAGCCTGTATAATCTGGGATTGACCTGATGGTCAGTGCAGTGATTACAAGTCGGTTTATTACCATTATTGCTGTGAGTCCAGTGGTAAATGTAATGACAGGGTAGTTTATGGGCTGAGGACAAAGGAAACAGTCTAGGGACAGTCGTGCAACTGTTGCAATCGGGTGTTCCCGGACCCAATTTCCCAGAGACAACTCTGTGACTCAATTGTCACGGGACTGTCGTTTGAGGTTTGGTATCCATTGAAACAAGTGTAGATGTGCACACATGCGACTAAATTGTCGCTGTGTCGCTCAGTTTCACCCCAGGAATTCAGCTACAGTACTTGTCGCCAGAACTGTCACTAGTGTTTGATCTCTTTTTGTTGTGTGAAGTTTATAGAAAATTACTTAAATTTGAGTGTCCGTGATGAGGACGTCTAACAATTAATAGAAGAGGCCGCCATTATATTTAAAATCATTGAAAGACTATTCGGATATTAATTTGAAGAGGAAGTTGTGGGATGAAGTGTCCTTGGCAGTTACTAAAGATTGGAACAACCTAACACAAGAGCATAAAATCAAATCTCACAACTTTAACAACAAAGCACATAGCCTAATACGGCTGTATTATTGAGAAATCCATTTGGTAGTGTTAACGAATGTAATGTCCAACTTACGTCTTAAGACTTTAGATTTACGACTAAAAAGTTGCCTGTGTGCGCACTCCAGCTCAACTGTCGCTAGACTTCAGAGTCTCCAAGTGGGTTGCACAACAGTCCCCAAATTAGTTGGACAACTGCTAGACTCAAAATCGCTAGTGTGCGCCTGGCCTAAGACGTTTTCACTGATCTAGTGTTTTAGGTAATATATTTCAAACTGTTTGCAGTCATTAGCAACACATGTTAGCAATGACTGGTGTTGAAATTAGCCGTTTTGAAGAATGTAGTTAGAATAAGAATATTTTTGTGTAAAAATTTACATACAAAGTTAAAACCAATGGCATACAAATCATATTTTCGACAGCTGAATACAGTGGGAAATACAAAACACCAAACACATCACATTGAGTGTGGTAAATATATCAGAGGGTCCTTCCCCAGGGCCTGACATTTTTTTTACATAAAATCTTAATTTTTGTTGCCAGAAGTGAGGATTCAGGTCGGAATTGGTGTTTTGAGCATTTTTCCCATTAAAAATGATGTCCAAAATCGCCGGTCACTGTTGGTTGGGCCGGCTCGTGCAATGACGTTTGTGGGCACTGTGATGAAAATACCGTACTCCATTATTGGTCTCACAAACACTGTTTTTCACACAAAAAATGTTTAATAGCACTATATCTATAATATTACGATACACGCAATAACTCCGGTCCTTTCCACGGCTTCTCACCTTTCCAGTGTACCACACTGAGTGATTCATTTAAGCGAGACCTGACCCAGCACAGGTGACCGGGCCAGCCTGGGCGTGCGTTTGTTGGCCAGTGCTCAATGGCTGGCCCGCACTCAACGTGTTAAGAAATAAAATATTTCTTGTTCTTGTATATAAGTTGAAATAAACTATCGGTGGGCTGTAATGTAAATTTGAATACTATAAATACAGTGGTTGATATAGGTAAACTAAATTAATTATTGATAAAATTCTGTTTTAGAGTACAAGAATGATTTTGGAAAGGCACGAACTTCTGAAGTGACAACTTTTGGAGTACCTTACGACTACCAGAGTGTGATGCATTACCCCAAATACGCCTTTTCTAAGAATGGAAAGGACACAATAGTTGCAGTGGTATGTTTTTCTTGTTTAATTTTCTTGTGTTGCCATGATGTAGAAGCTTGAAACATCCAAACAGCTTTAAAAACCCTAATGTCCATTCCATTGGTACCTATCATCATTGAACTTTGTATTTTGGATTCTATCACTCGGCAAAACTATTACACATAAAACAGATCTATCGTCATCAAAAAAGTTTTTCCGTTAATCTATGCAGTGCTGCTGCTCTGACAAAAGGTATATGCACAGAGAAGTAAGATACAGAGGATTCAAGCTTATGGGCAAATCGTGCACTTTTAGCTCAGGAATGGTGGGGCAAAAATATACTTTAAGCCTAGTAATGAGCAAGGAAGAGCTCGAACGGCTATTGTTTAAACAGCAGTTGTAGCGCACAGGCTCTTCCTGTACATGATGGTGAGAGGGGAAAGGAGACCGAAGGGGAGGACGAATAGAATTTGCTTTAGACACCAGCAACTGGTGCTAGACACCACTTAAGTGTCCCACTGACTATTTATGTATCTTGCTTCCCTGTGGTATATGTAATATTACTTTAATCTACCTCATAAAAAGGAGTTGACATACAACCTATTGAAATGCTTGGTAATGTAGTCCTACAAGATGAATTGTTTACAATCAGCATAGGGTTATGAACCGCCAAAATTGAAATTATCCAGACTATACTAGGTACTGCACAATGAGCAATCGCAACCAATTTTGATTTTGTAATGTTACTGAATGTTTGTTAGTACTTAAAAATACTTGTAATCACCACTGGTGTCCTAAATTTCCCAGTTCGGGAACATTCACTATCGTCTCCGAAAAATAAAGGACGCCTATCAATATAAAGAATTTTTGAGAAAAGTAGAATGGCGTTCCAACCCGTCTACACCACCTAACCTAACCTTAATGGTTTACTGATGTTTTTGTGGTTGAATCAAGAATGTAATAATTGTTGAGATTGGTTTATGAAATTATTTCCCTTCAATTGAATGTCGTTGATTTTAGACCCCCCGACCGAGCGGTATCCTGGGTCTGTTCCAAGGACCCACGGAGGACTCCAAGGTAGTAATGGGTCAACGTATTGGAGCTACGGACGGTGACCTGGAGAAAATACGTCGGATGTACAAGTGTCCTAAATAAACCTGCTTTTCAGTAAATATGTTATAAGTTACTTTCTGTCATGCCTTAACGTGAGTAGTGCATTCTAATGTTGAGTAGTAGCTATGTAAGATGTGAATATACATACACACAGGGTATCTACATGGGGATCTACAAAATAAATTTTAATAATTGTGATAGCTTTTACATAGGACAAACTGTAAACTTTGTTAAACGTTTAAAAAACCATGTGTCTGCATGGAGAAACAACAAACCGGAAAGATCAAATTTCGCACAACACTTGTTACAAAATGGCCACTCATTAGGAAAAATTGAAGACAAATGTATGTATTTTAAAGAATTGTAAGAAACAAAATGTGATGAATGCTTGAGATTGTATATTTCCTAAGAAAAATGTAAAAAAGAATTATCTAGGTTACGTACCTTATACAGTCAAAACAGTTCTAACTCTTCAGTTCCAACTCTTGGGAAATCGTTTTGACTGTATAAGGTACGTAACCTAGATAATAATTTGAATAACAGTTCAGGAGGCAAAATAATGAATAAAGTAAAAAAGAAATAAGGTATTTAATGAATAAGTGAATTTTAACTCCAGTTGTACTTAGAAACTTACTGGCGGGTACTTCCGGTAGCCAATAGTATATAAGGACCGTCATTTTGATTCTTGTCATTTGCCTATTAGGTCTGATCATGATTGGAGTGTCCAATCGAATTTGATCACCACTTACCATCTTTTAGGCCTATATGTATTTACGGTCTTGTAAGTAAACAGTATAAGTATAAATATATTATTACAAGTGTTATTTGACATATTTGTATGTGCTTTCAAGTAATTTAATAACATGTATGATGCTGATCAAGAAGTTATTTAATTACTTTCAAAAATCAGCTGGCCTTATTTGCGAGTTTGTTGGAAGCAAACTATTGATTTATACCTTCAAAAGGAAGGGACAACGTTGTCAATTTCTCTTTTAAATCTGTTGTCATACAACACATAGAATTCCTGCTCAATTTTCCAATAAATTTAAAGGCTTAGTAAAAACAAGATAATAAAACATACACATTTTATTCAGAAATAAATTATAAATAAAACAATTATGTTAATACTTTAATTAATGTTAATACTGCTGCTGTACAAATATCAATACACACTGGAATATAAAGCTAAGCAAAGGTCACAATAGTTTACCAGTTCTGATAGTAACAACAGGAAAAACGAAAAACGAAAATTCTTGCAATCAATCAACGCTAGACAATATTTTTGGAGCGATGAAACTGAAATTCTTTTAAAATAACTTTTCCTTTCAAAACTAATTTATTGATATTGTTCCTGACGCAATTGTTTGCTGTGTTGGTGGAAATAAAAAATGGATTTCAGATAGATTTTAAGGTTCCTATAGAACAATATTTTTTAAATTACAATTTCAATATTTTGAGTTCATCAATTTTCCTATGTTACTAGCAACTGGTAAAAACCTAAAGGACCCTTGCCTGTGTAGAATATTGTAGTAATCATAAATAGGTTTGTAATTCTTCCGTTAAACAATTTATTTTAGAGTTAAAAAAGTTCTAAATTCTAATAAAAATGAACATATCCCTAGGAAAAATTAAAATAAAATATAAAGCTATTCAATTTTGATCTTTGCTAATTCATACATTCACAACATTTGTGAGAGAATAAAAAACATAAATACAATATTTTATTATATTTCAATTGTACAATTTGAATACACAATTTAAAATCTGATTTTTTAATGCTGTTTTACACTTATTTAAATAATTACTTTCAAAACTCTTACCAGTATGGTTTCTTCATCAGGCAGTGATTAATAATCTAAAAAAAATCTTATTGCACAGCCATTACTGTACAGACGTAAAAAAGAAAAAAACACTACAACATAACTGTACACTAAAATATAAACATTTAGGATAAAAAGCGAAATATACAATAAATTACAAAAGAAAAATTCACCTTGTGTGAATCGAAGAATACATATTTGGTCTAGTGAACTATAATTATTTGAACACAATTACTCCTTAAAACTAACAGACAGTAAAATAGTGCTATATATATATTTATATACAAGTACTTTAAGTGCTTCGAAAGTAAAATATACAGGAATAATAAAGTCATAGACTATTTTACTTTATGTACAAGTAATGCCGATTTGTTTCTTTGAATGCCAAATTGACATGATTGTGAAAACTCGTGATTTATATAATAATGTAAGTTGATTTGTGCACAATTTCCTGGTTTGATATCTCAATTCGACCTTAATAAGAATCCTTGTTGAGTTGCATTATCTTTTGATTTGTACTTCAACTTTTCGCTTGAGATTCTTGCAACCTCTTTCTGTGTTGGCTCTACGATGTTTCACTTCACAGACTATTAGAGAACATGTTAGTTTTGTCCATCATTGGCATCGAAGGATCTTTTCTCGGTACAATCGGGTTAATCCATGAGCCGAGAACCAGGCTTTCAATTTCACATTCGTTTTTCCCTCGGACGATTCGGAAGAAGCCGTTTTCTCCCCACCAAGGGCCCCAGGAGTTGGAGACAATCTGTAAACAATTGGTAAACTCAAAAGTTGGAATCGTGAATGTAAATTTGCTTATCAAATTTTGATGACCTACAGTATGAAACAGAAGTTTGAGGTAAATTTGTGAACAACTCCCGCGATCACGGAGAAATTCTGATAAACTCCAGCCATATCTGGGACATCATCATCATCACCCACGATCTTGGAGATATCGTGAACATTTTTTGTAAATTTACATAGATTTAATAACACACACAATGCTAATTAACAAGTTTAAGACTTAAGTGTGGATGAAAACCTACACAAAAAGAAAACCAATTTCAGATTTTACTGTAATATAGTGTGAAAAATTACTTGCACTCTCCATAATCAACAGTTTCTCATATTACTCACCCAGTACTTGACGAGTCTACCTCCCTGCACCTCCTCCCCCCACCCTATGACTCGGACTGCGTGGTAGTTTTCTGGTCGTCGTGACTTCATGTCAGATGGACATTGATAAACCCCGCTGCGGTAGCTGAAGAAATCAGGATTTACCCTCATTGTGGCTGAAAAGTAATAAAATTATCTTTTAGATACATCCCATCTATATGGACCAGCTGTTGCCAATTTTTTCCCTAAAGAACATAGTTCTGTGAGCCATAGAGTAAGCTAGCAGCTGAAATTCTATTTTCAACATTATTCTTGGTTACTGAGATAGTTAACGGGCATACAAGATTTTAGCTTACAATGAGTTGTCCTATGAGCTTGACTTAGTTAAAAATTTGATACTCAACAAAAATCTGTAATTTATAACAGCACAATCAATCCGTGGCTAAAATTACTGGTGACAACTTAAACATGGAGATGGAATCTCTAGTTTGATCAGAAGTTCAGGTTGTAAGTAATAACTCACTGTCATTAATTGAAGTATGTAGTTTGGGGCATATAAAAAAAAATTACTTCATTCATGATGTGTTCGAAGAACGAATTAAGTATTCATTCAAGAAGTACATACTTGAATGAATTATATCAATCCCAACAACAATAAAAATGCCATTAACTTTTTTTTAAATTAACTAATCGAATAACCAGTGTTATTTTTTAAAATACCTTTTTAAAATATTTTAATGTTACTCTAATTTTGTAGGAAGAGTACGATCGACCCTTCCTTTTTTAGAAGTGTTTTCCTTTAATAGTTTAAATTTCAGCATCAAATATTTTCTCCACAGAGAAAGGTAATGAAATACCACTTCACTTCAAATTAAATCAAGCCCTGTTTTTTACCTTGTACAGGGCCAGAGGTCATGATCTCGTTCATGATGGCCTCAGGTTCCCGAGAGACACGGTACGCCGGGCCGGTGCGGTGCAGCGGCCTCATAGAGTTACCGTCAGAACACCTCGCCGTCGTCCTCTTCTTATCCTGCACCTTGGGTACTGAACAATTCGTTTGTCTTCCGACCCATGGGTAGCACTCCTCAGGAACCAAACTGTAGAAAGATTGTAATTTCAGTATTTGAAGCTAGCATGCCTAGCCTACTGGTAACAGCGATGGTTTGATATTATTTAGGCAGATTTGTAAGCATGACTCCTAAAGAAACCAAGCAAATAATCAAGATTTTTAAATCTTTAAACAATACATCATCCAACAACTAATGTAGTTACCACAATGTTTTAAATTCACTGCTATAGCAGGTGATGATGATGACGTCTTTGTGATGGTTAGAGATGTTAAAGTAATTTTTTAAGCAAGGGCCGTTTTAGCGTATAGCTCTAAACTCTAAAGCTTGTGCGCCGAAACTAGGCTCCTCGCTACTTAGTACTTACTTATCACTACTTATCATTTGTGAACAGAATGACACACTTTGCAACTCTGTAGCTGCTGTGTGTATTTAAAATGTATATAATTATTAAATCTCCCGCCGCGTGCGAAATAAAGTCACTGATACATTTTGACCTCAAGACACATCCGATGCTCACATTCATCGCCAGATGACTGAAGGTTTATGAGTCATGACCCTATTGCAATAAGTGAAGGCAAAGTGTGGAAATAGATTATAAAGTGGGAAAATAGCTGTGAAAACGTTCAAGGTCTTCTGTGCAAAGAATAACCCACCAAAAACACAATTCCTTCCGAAATGAACATGTTCGTGGCCGTTTTTAAAGCCTTGAGTCCTGTGTTGAATGAACTAGTTAAAATCCAGTTTACCGATGCACTATTTTACAGATTTAAAAATCTCTACACATATATAACCAACAGGTTGGGGCTCACCCAAACTTCTGGATGAACTTCCACGCTCTGGTGAGATGTCCGCCATCACAACCTCGCTGATTTTTGGCATTGCAGCTCAGCAAATGTTGAGGGGAGAGAAAGGTACGATCTTCTCCTTTAGACACCAACGCTAGTCGATCAGTGGCAACCTGAACATATGTTAAATAATGATAGGTGAGTGGTAGCAATATCATTAGCTCAATAGTACTGCATAATATATCAGTTTTCACATCTTGACTTCTTTTGTTAATATTTGAATATACGAGGGGACTTGTGGGTAAATTGCAGGGGCTTTCAGTTACTAAGAAACTGCTTATTTGCATAAGAAAAATTGAAAGCAAGTTGAAAGTCATTTTTAGAGGTAATATTAACATTAAAATCATTTTCGTTTTCTAACTTGGTTTGTTAAATTTAATAATGTTGCAATACGACGCAAATATTACACAGGAAAATTTGCCATTTCAACCCTCACTTCAGCTTTGCCTTGATTGTAAAACTTGAGCTCGGGTCGAAAAGAGTCTCTTTACGCCCTAGTGATGAAATCATGTTAACAATCTGATTGTGGTTACAAATTCAACTGGGGGATCAGCTGTTTTCTCACATTTCAGCCTTTATAAAGAAAGTTGATCAGCATCACCGAATCTTTGGAAGCAAACCCTAGAAATAAATCAAACACTAGGGGGGGGGGGGGGGAGAAACCTTAAGGAAATTACCTTCTTGTTCACCATTTGTCCCTCTGCTAAATCATAAGCTTTGAAACAATACCTTAATAATAAAAGTTGGTTAAGTAGGACGGCTGTAAAAGGGAAGGTACAGAAAAAAGTCAGATTAAGTTTGTATCTATGTGATAGATAGTTATATCTAACTCTTTGAGCCCTTAGGATCGATATATTGGTAATCTAAAGTAACTTATAGCATGCTACAACATAACATAACTTCACCCTCAAGTACAGTTTGTTGCGCGAGTGAAAAACCAGCCTTTGCATGTTTACAGAAGTATGTTTATAAACGTTTTATTAACTAAATGTGGGCACTTTTTCCTAGTGTGCAGCATGTATCGAAGCAATATCTACAATTGGCGCTTGGACAATGTGATCACCAAATTGAGTCTGACAGCTGTTTGACTTCTGCTGTGGCAGGCGCATTATCCTGTTGCTACTGCGCATTATTTTGCTTGTTTTTCACTCGCACAACAAACTGTATGAATGCAACCATATGACTCAACAAAAACAAAATAATTTCTATGTTACTGAAATCAGCTGATGCAGGCCAGGTACAAGATGAACAATGTCTGATGTTCATACCTGTACAGTACTGATCACCCAGTCAGCCGCGCACCACCCTTGGTCTAGCGGAGGAGAGATCATTCCCGGCTTTTCCTGGCGTAGATCGTACCACAACCTGGCGCGTACTTTCTCGTGATCAAACATGGAATGGATCGGCCTCATTTCATATGCCTGCAATAAAATATATTATTGAGACGGATATTTTGAGAAACATGTAAAGTATAATGTAGAAGCAGATACACTAAAGTCATTGTATTCAAAGTTTTAGAATACTAACTGTAATAGATTAATGTGCAACACTTCTGATTTTCAATGATTCTTCACTTTCACCACACACTTAATTGTCTTTTAACATTTTATCTATCAGTAGTTTTGACTTTTGTAGGACCAAAAATGCTTCGCACTGAACTTTTTCCAAAATAATCTAATCAGTTCATATTTCATTTTGAGCATACCACCTTTACCCTGTAATTAACATAGATTAAGGGGAACTGTAAACAAAAACTGTAAAAAAAAGTTATACGTCTTAGTACGTACATATTTGGAATTTAAATTCAAAGTAAATTTTTGGGCGGGTTTAGTTATTGTAAAACTTTTGTTAGACCTAAATTATTGTAGATCATGCAATTATTTGCAATTATTTGTAGATTGTTGTTATTGTAGATCTTTTGGACCTAAATGTTAAAAATATATCAATCCTGACCAAACCAGTGACAATATTAAATACTCCAATAAAATAAATCATGATTCAGTGGAATTGAAACTATTGTAAGACTCAATAAAGGATTTTAAAATCATATTATCATATAAAAACACGATGACACTTTTTGTGTGTATACCATATCTATCTTCAAAAAAAGCAATGAAGAATACGAAGGAAGTAGGTGGTGAGAAGAATATAGGAGATGGCAAAGGAGGAGGAAATGCAGAAGGAGAAGAGGAAGGAGGCCAAGAGGGAGCAGGAGAAGAAAAAGAAGAGGGTGGGGAATAAGGAAAGGAGATGAATAAGGAAAAGGAAATAAAGAAGGAGAAAACAGAGTAGAGAAAAGAAATTAAGGAGAAGGAGATGCAAATGGAGTAAACAGAAAGGAGATGAAGAAGGAAAAAAGGGAGAAGAGGGAGGAAAATAGGATGGAGGAGGAAACAGAAAAGAGAAAGGCAATTAAAAAGAAAAAGATCAAGAAGGAGTAGAATGGAAGGGAGAATACTAATGAGGATAAGAAGAAGATTCAAAGTCACATCTACCCCTTACTCTTCTCGTGGAGTGCCGTGTGCCGAGTCGTCTGCTCAAGCCCTCGTCCAGAGTCCTCCCCCAGAACTGAGAGTAGTTGGAAGCCTTCCACCCAGCAAACCTGTCTTGGTTAACAGCTGTGATGGCCGCAGGGTCTACCAGACATCTGTTTTGTGTACAGCTCATCTCCAGCCGACAGTTGCGAGGGGCTGTACATACCTTCTGACACTTGCTGTGGACAAAATGTATTTTATGAGAATTGCAATCCCATGAATTTTTTATTTAAGAAGTTAGGAGACAGAAGGATGTATCCCTCTTTTACCTTTCATTTGCACGTCCACTTGGAACACAGAGGTCTATGTCTGGACCGTATCCAGCAAAGCAAGGTGTGAGCCAGTTCAATTCTAGGGTGAACTGTACTGATACAAAGTAGTGACGGGTACCAGGATCTGAACCCTCGACATCGCTGCCTTGGGCCCGAAGTCCATTGCGCTACCGACTGAGCCACCCACACATTAGCAGTTATTTATTTAGGTTATACATTGGAGGGATTGAAATATTTTAAATTAAATACACTAGAGTCAGTTAGCGAAAATAGTTGAAACCAGAGATGACACAGTTTGTCTAATTTTTTTATGATAGAAATTTGTGTAATATATAGACACAAATTTTAGGGGTGTTTTGACAGTTTTCCCTTAAAAGCTTTTGATTTTTAAGTGTCTCTAGGTGAATCAAATAATGAAACACTATTTTTCTGTGAGAATCTCTTTACATTTTCAAATACGGTACGTTGTTAGTATTCGGAGGAAAGATAACTTTGTTTATGGACAATAAAGACAACGCTTTGTTGTACAAAATAATTGTAAAAGTAACTCCCAAGCTGGTACATAGAGTCATTTTATATCCAAGTTCCTTAATATAAGTTCTCCTAAGGAATACATTAAGCAGGCTCTCAGTTTGCATGTGACACACTATGGGGCCAAGACATTCGAGCCCCTCTCCCCCAGAATTTTTGTTTACCTTGCCCCCCAACAAACCTAACACCTCTTGCATCTCTGGGCCCACCAGCCCGTTTATTAAAGCGGGCCTTGCCTGGCTAAGGGAGTAGGATACACAACTAACCTACCTAAGAAAAGAGCTCCAGACTGTCAACAGTACACAAAAATTCCTAAAACAATTTACTTAAAATTTTATAAGTGTATTGTTTTAATCCTTGAATATCGCTCTTGATTTGTCAGCAAATGGTATATTTATAACTCCTGATGTCAGACAAAGCTTCGCAACTCAACACTAATGTTCAATTACAGTTGGTTATAGGAGACATAAAGATGATGTTTAGCCGAGATGTCAAACTAGAGTTACTCTCTTGACAGGATCAACATGGAGTGATGTCTAGGTCAAAGTTCAACTGGATGTCACTGACCCGAGGAAGAAAATTATTACTAGCTGTAAAACTAAGTAGGTCCATTCCAGAAATAGCAATAGAAGATGTAAAATGGCAAAGTATGATGTGCTCAATTTTGAATGTAAGGTTCCCGGGTTCAGTCCATATGATTGAATTTAATATGTTTGAATTCAAAGTTATGATCAAAATCAGGTAGATCATGTTGAAATTATTAAATTTAATTCTTAACTATTTCCGTGGATGTTAAAAAGCCATGGGTTATGATAAGCCCAGCAACAATTCTGGTAGTTTAACTGCGGACATTTAACATATGTAAGGTTTGTAAAATGTTAAAGATCTCGCACTATGGTACTTTTTACAATTATTACATGGTGGTAAATTGTATACATATTTTTAGTGCTGAAGCAAATTTCAGTTTATTTGAATGGATTAGCCAATCATTGAATTAGAATGGTCCTCCTATATCTATGGACAAGCTATTTCAATTGTTTGAACTGAAAAAGATAATTATTGTAGGAGTCTGTTTAAGTTTGTTGTGCTATTGAAGTTAAATTGTATCTTTAAGAGGGAAAACTATAACATACAGGTTAATTTTGGTGGTGGCCCAAAAATTTGAATGAAGTTCTCATCTATTGTAAAAAAGGTTATAGCTATATCACAGGAACGAAATGTCTCTTCCATGGTTTAGCTATGAACTATTAACATTTGTAATAATATATGTTCTACCTTGCTAATTGATTCAAAACATATACTGTGAACTTACTTACCACTCATTGCAGTTTATTTTGACTCCAGTGCCTTCATTGTAATTTCTTCCCTTGTAGGAGCAACCTGTAACAACAACGATGTTTCAACAATCATTGTAAAATATTGATGTGTCTTGCTACTTTAATCGTTGAAAGTTATGTTTATATCGATTCATTAAAAAGGAATCTTACTGACAGCTGTTTTTTCCTTGAATGCACTAATTGACAATTCTCTGCAATAAAATAAGCTTTCATACTGCTATATACCTTTTACTACAGTCACCTGACAAAGTGGCCTTCCTTGCACTGATTATAGCACAGAAAGTTGATAATTCCTGCATCTGCTTACTTTTACCGCACTCTTTTTACTTTTGCCGCACACCAGAATTCGAATTTAATAAATCACTTAAAAAAAGGGATAAAAACCAGCAACTCAATTTTTATTAATTTTCAATATCAAAACATAAATCAGCAAAATGCAATTCACACCATAATCTCCATTTACAAATCCACAAGTCCATCTTCACAGATGAAATTTCAATTTCAGAGGTTGGCTGCACTGGTTAAAATGTGCATAATTACATAAAGTGTGTGCGGCGCCGGCAGCGACATGATGCAACTTGTCTGACAGCTGTGACGTCATGTTGTTGCTATGCGATAGCGGGCGATACCTTGGGTCAATTGTTGGACAGAATAGATCAACTCAATCAGTCTACAATGCCTTCTTGATAGCGGCACTTTTGAACTTATTGACAGGTTAAATCGTAGTTTTCATCTTGCGAAATATTATTTATTGGTAGTTCAGTTCAAGCAATGTTTTACATGTTGTGTTTTTCAAGTTTTTTTTTAAAGGAATGTACATTATTATTATGTATTTGTGGATGTACTTCATTCGTATTGTTCATATACATTGTGCGAAATAGACTATTTATTTTTGGTCATGAAATTACAAGGAGTTTTTAATTGTTGTGTATTTCTTTGGTGCCTTTTAAGATCCAATCAAGAGATTTTCCATTCATTATTTTATTCATTTTTTTGTAAGTTTTTAAGAGTCAAATGATTCTTCCTTGTGATTATGTAGCTCTATTCCAGGGACATTTTCTATTCTGTGATAAGTAAGGAAGAAGTCCTAATCACAGTTTTTTAACTTTCATTCTTAAGATGTTGTGTCAATACTAATTAGTACAAGAAATAACCTTTTAATTTAAGTTGAGACAGGTCAGGATTGATCATGTAATCATATTTTTAATCAATTTCATAGCTAATCATTCCACATTTACAATCAAAAAGACCTTTATTTATTTATTTACTAGCAGAGTACCCGTCCTTCGTACGGGGCTGGCTTATAAGTTAAAAATGCTTATTGCAGTTATACTCAAACTTTGCGTTTGCAATGGGGGAGGACAAAGTTTGATAAAATTTGCTTCTTTGAATTTACGGTATAGTATTACACGTCTACCATAGCATTATGTTCTACCACTTCACCTAAACAATAAAGAAAAATAAATTATTAAAATTCACAAAAAATCACAAATTTTTCATGACATTCAAAACTTGAACATAACTGTGAGTGCCATCCATTCCACGTTGACAGTTCTCATTGAATATCAGAGTGTGTTGTTGCTGTAGTTCAAATTGTTGCTGTTTACTTAAATGCCAAAAAAATTTTGTGCTGCACCCTGTAAGTAAATCTTATAACTTTTTAATGCTTTTGTATTTCATAGAACCAACTTTTTTAGTTGAAACAGCTGACTAAATTCTTTAATTCCATTTAAATATGAATACTAATAAGGTTAACATGGGGAATTACAGAGCCACTGTGGCGGAGCCCGAGAGGATTTTTGAGATAAGAATATGCCTATATGTTAATCGGGAATGTGAGCTATCATTATGCCAAATTTCAGCCCAATCCGTCCAGTGGTTTATGCGTGATTGAACTTCAAACAAACAAACAAACAAACAAACACACAAACTTTCACATTTATAATATTAGTAAGATTTTTTAAAGATAAAATTGCTATTGTGAATGATAAGTGTTGTAGTTTGGTAAGCTTATCATAACTTAATTAAGGTTATTTAACTTACTTAAATAAAGTTCTCACTTTTAAGACTCTTTTCTACCTAAATATAGTCGAAAATGTCCCGAAAAAGGGATTATTCACAATTTAAATGTTAAGCTATTGTTGAGTACTAGTACATCACGTTACGGTACCACACTTTTGTTCAAAATTGGTTCAAAAGGTTATCGCAAACCTATGATTAAATATTGTTAGGTTAAAACAGTAATTGATGTATAAACGAGATATGCCTACCTACTTCCCTTGAAATTTACTAACGTAGATTATGATTGGCAACCTTTGTAGAATCTTGTTTAATGTTATAACCTTCTAATGTTGAATGTTGGATACGAGTGCGACATATGGGCTCCATTGTCATCCAAATGTCAAGCAACTTTGATAAATTTGCGATGTTCAAGATTGTATGAAGATGTTGACACAGATTTGCACGAAATTACTTCCTCCCCCGTACATAGTATTTGGAGAAAGTATTGTTTTCGTTATAATTTGGTAGTTTGAGTTTCTGGTTTTGATGAACTTAGGTATATGTATGTACTAATCAATAGTATATCCAGGAGTTTTTTTTTTATTTTTCCAAAATTAAGATTTTCTATGGTTATTTCTAAAAAAAAAACATAAAATAATGGGCACACAGGATTTTTACAAATACAGCTAGAATTTTAACTCTAAACCAAATGGTAAAACACACAAAGCTGTAAAAATTACGGTTCAAAGGTTATTGCAATTTTTGTGCTTTTACCCATAAAAAACCAGGGTTACTCCCCCGCTAACACATTATAAGGGTTGTCGACAAGCTAATGGGAGAAAGTATGTGTCAGTTTGTTGTTACCGTCTATTATTTCTGTTAATAGTGTTGATATACAGGGTGTCCCGGAACTCTCTACCAATATTTTAGGGCATTGCTCCTGGGTAAGAAACATACCTAGATATCATATTTAAATGTTTGTGCAAAGTTTCCATTTCGTATGTTTAACCATTCTTTAGAAAAAAATTAATAACTGAAAAAAACAAAATGGCGGCTGTGTGAGTAACTAAGGACTTCCGGACAATTTAAATATGATATCTAGGTATGTTTCTTACCCAGGAGCAATGCCCTAAAATATTGATAGAGAGTTCTGGGACATTCTGTATATGACAATTCAATTTGCAAACAAGTAATACACTTCGTTGTGTTGTTTGAAGTTCATTGTTGGAGATGGTACGTTTACATAGGTTACAAGATTATTACGGATATTTTTCATCACCGGAAAAACAAAAACGTTATATAACTTTGGGATCTGGAATCTGAACGTGTCCTCAGGAGAATTCTAGTCTTCAAAACACATCAGGATTTGTACACTAACCAGACGATCTTGTGAAAACAATAGCTGAAAACAAAGCAATAATAGCTCGAGTTCTTGGATTGTACAGTTGTGATTATAGGTTGAGTGGAACGTTGATTTGTCCTCTTCCCACTTGTTAAATTCTTTGCTTTTTTCCTTTTTCTGCTCAACTATTGTGTTTACCCTCCTTCGTTCTATTCTTGTTATGTTCTAGGTTCTTTCTTCCTGAAGACAAGTTGAGATTTAAGATCCCTAAACAGCAGACTCTAAACCATCGTGCAACACGCGTTGTACAAATTGATAGTTAGAAAATGCAACATTCTTTAGGCAAAGCACTCGCCGTAGCAAACACTGTGGCAAGCAGACTTCCAATTGTCTGAATAATTCATTTTGCAAATTAATTCACGAAGAGATTGACAATATATTGTGTTTTTTTAGTTACAGAATATTCTATTAGAATTGGATGATTATCATGGGTAAGGCAAAGGGAGTGTTTTTTTTTTGTTTTTTCTTTCTTCTTTTTTGTGTGAAAATCACAAAAAAATTAATAACTTTTGAACCGTACTTTTTTAGCATTTAGGGTGCTAAGTGAGAGTTAAAAGGACCATAACACACTTAATTGTAATTAAAACTATTCGAGCTGTTTTTTTCTAAAACCCCTATTTTCGGTTATTTTATGAAATTTGTAAAAATAAAGATGAAAATCTAAATAAAAAAAGGGAAACAAAACTCCTGGAGATACGATGGTTTAGTACCTACAAACCAAATTTAATCAAAATCGGACCACAGGTGTGGTTAAGTAGCTACGTACAAATCAAACATATACGAAAAGACACACACATAAACATTACTTCAAATTTAGGTATAGGCTATTTAACCCAAACTCAAACTCAAAAATTTTGACGAATAGAAATTTTATTCAGCTGATCAAAAATGGATTGATCAAGGTTGACTAGGCCATGACCATAATTAACTAAAACCAATTCTTAATCACTTTGTTTAATGGATTTGTTAGTTTCTCCTGAGAACGTATCGTGGTAAAGTGACTTCTGTTCTCTCCAGTGACCTTCAATATGGCACGTGGGCCCAGACTTGCTGTGATGCATATAACATCTGTCTAGTGCACCAGTGCACCAGTGCAACAGTGCATCAATGCATCTCTAGTTCCGATATGTTATCAACACTGTGCATGCGTCTACCACACAAGTTTGTCGTAACCAACGACAATAAAATATTACACACTGAAAACTGTATAGCAAAATAATGGCTGAAATTCTCCCATTTGCTATTTGACAGGTTAGACTTTTTAAAATTTTTACACTCCACCCAAATATTCTAGGACGCTTGTTTTCCTACCACGGAACCGTTTTACACTTCAAGCTAGGCATAGATGGGTGTGACATGATCACATAGATAAAATAAATTGGCGTTTGGTGGGATTTGAACCCGGGATCTCAGGGACAGAAGCTCCGCTTTACCACTAGATAAGCTCGCTCGCTTCCCGGCAGGTTCATTGCAGGTTTACCTGCCACACGAGATTTTCAAAAGGGTTTGAAGGTTGTTATGTGATAGTAAAGTCAAAATCCCTCCTTACATTTTTTTTTAAACTGAGTCATTATTTTTTTATGACATTCAAAAATATATATTCCATTTTTTCAAAAATGGCCGCCACTTTCCAAAATTTCTTATGGGAACCCTTATAAACTTCCCTTTTTTTACAACTTTTTTATTCTTTACATTTTTTCTCTAAAGCTACTAGTTTAGGAGCTACAGCGTATTACAATTCGGTAAAAGTGGATTTTTATGTACATTCTGCATTCTGTAGCTCCTAGAGTAAGAAACGCAAATAAAAAAATCCATGCAAGTCATAAAATTACATTTAAATTCTAAAAACATCATAAAATACATGGAACTTCGTAAGAAATTCCAAATTTAGTTGCCATTATTGGCGACCATTTCTGAAAAAGTTAAATTTACATTTGAATGTCATAAAAAAATAATTGAAGTTCCCCTCAATTTAATGTTTTCTCAAAATCTAATAGTTTCTGCGATACCAATGGTGGCACGGTTAAGTTGTTCACTCTTTATAAACTTTTAGCTAAAGGATACGACATGAGCTTCATTGTCATCCAAATTGCAGGAAATGTTAAAAACGGTATTGAAGATGGCGTGATTAAAAGTAATCAATGAAACATTATAAATAGGAACAAAACTACAGGCAATAGTAAAACGGAAGCCATGCTTGATTTTGAACAGAAGTTAATCTAGTTGTGTATACATAAATCACCACAAAAAATACACAATCCAACCAAAATGTTTGCTTCACCCCATCACCAACAAAGCACCTTGCATAACCATGGCAACCAAAGCCAGTCTGAAGACCAAGTCTAAACAATTGGCGAAGACAACCTCATTTGTTTAGTCAGTTGTCATTGAGCAAGTCAATCGAACCAGTGATTTATATCGACATTGGTCTATATCGAGAACACCCACTCGATAATCGAAAGTCCGACCTCGAAGAGTGCCAAATGCGATATCTATTGATACAATAGGATGAGTAAAACTTACTATGCGGTATGGCGTATGGTGATGATGAAATTGAGCAAGGAATTACTGGAAATTTAGGATAATTATACCTTTAACTTCTGGGTGGAGTTAAGGATGGCAAGTTTGACAAATTTTAATGAAAGGTTTCGGTTTCTCTAAATATTTTTCACTAGAGAATTGGAGTTTGATCAGGTCTTTAGCTATGGATATACATTGAATTAAATATAATGTACCTAATCAACATTACTACACGATTTGAAGCTATAAGTACATTAAAACTAAACAATTAAGTAAAAACGAAACTATAACTGTGTAGAATCAAAATATCGTTTGGATGGAAATATACAAATTTGGATTAAAGGGTAATACACACGTTTGTAGCTGAAGGTAACTGCTAAATCGATAATTTTATTAAAGCACATGGGGAGGACATGTACATTGTACGTGAACGGTATAAAATAGTTTTCAGAAAAATCCGCTGAACACTTCGAGGAGGACCTATAAATGAACAACGTTTCATGCAAATTATAGAACACTGATAATATTCTAGAATAAAGGAGAATATGGGGTTTAACATTTCATTATTGTTTTATTTAGTCGTATTACTGTTTGCATTTTCCTATACACTTTTTCATACCAATTTAAGTTTGTGGTTAAATGAACAGATACAGTAATCTTTTGATGTAATCAATTTCCATTTCATGATACATATTGCATTCTTAATTTCGTGAAAGTTTGTTAAAATGAACTAAATATGAAGAAGTCTTCACACGATGAAAACTCAACTATAAAAGACGACTGAAAGATTTGACAGTGTTTGGCCATTGTTTGATTTGTTCATGGCCTAAACAACAAAGAAGACAAGACAGGGATTCGTCACGATCTGAAGTCAGATAATAAACAATGCTGTAATACGGTTAGAGTTCTAAATAGAACATTACAAAGGTTTAGTTGTTTGTTTACAGTAGAGCTATATTCACAAAATATGTCATGCGGATTACACATTTGCAAAACAAATTTTATTGCGATGTGTTTGTACGAATAATCGTATGCATCCTAGTTTGCAGTTAGGCATGTTCTGATGATACAGTTATTTCCTTAACATAGGAAATATGCGCGATCTGTGTGTTTGTTTCTGCACTGGACCGGTACAGAGCTAAATAATATCCATCGATCTACTGCTACAGTAACATCAACGTCATTTTTGCCAATTGAAATTTTGGTTGGTGACTGGCTTGAACAAAAGTCGGAGAATCTTCATGAAAAATACATCTGAGAGAATATTTTTTTAGATACTTACATTTATAAATACTCATTAAATGATAATATTCACTAACCATAATATCATCGTTTCTTATATGGGGTCACAATAGTGAACAAATATATGAACAAATATGGTTGGTTGAATTGAGGCTTTTAAAACTAAGAGCTCAGATTCAACTCAGTCCCGTCAATAATTCAAAAATGACGTCAAGACATGTTGAATATGCTTAACGTGAAGATGGAATACCGGTACCGAAACGCAAACGAAACGTCAATTATTATTTTCACAATTTTGATGTTGCAGCTACCTATATGCCGAAGACTAATAATATATTACAGAATGTAAAGGCAAATTGATCTTAATAACTGTAATCCATCCAGATCACACATAAATGCTTCTGGACAATCCAACTTACCCTTGGTAATCGGAGCGACCGTAGGGCGAGTGGCGTTCAAACACACATACGCATAGTCCGGACAACAGTCATCACCGTTTGGACGATCACAAAACTGATCACAGTAACACAGGGTTCCCATGACAGGAACCGAGCAGTCGTCCTCCCTGGCAGCGCAGCACTGGGTCCTCCGGGTCTCGCAGAATCTGCCGGGGATGTCCGACATGTCGCTGAGGGCGAAGACCTTGGTGGCAGCTAGGACCGCGACCAGCACCACCGCCTGGAACAAGGGAATGGGTGAAGAAATTGCAAGACGACTCAAAGAGCTAATTGGAGTTTCAAGAAATTTGCCATGCGATTATCCACCCCATTGAAATTACTTTGCAGTTTATTTCTGAGGTTTCAAACCCTATAATGGTTGCTATAATGTCGAACTTTTGTTGGATTGCGTAATTAACTGATAGCCGAATAAGAAATGACACCTTAGTCCAGAAACGAACTAGCAATCTTCAGATGTGAAGGCAAACACTACATAGATGTATTATTGGATGGAGAAGGTTTAAAGGAAAGTTTATCTTTGGAGTTCTGCAGAAACTGTTCTTTTCCTAGAGAAATACAGTTGTTTGAGAAATATTGAAGCTAAACCGTTAACTTAAGGTGAGTTCTGTGTTCTGTGCCATCGTGAGATTACGATTTTACATATTTAATACGAATTTAAGATACCGAATCCGTAATCTGTTTGGGAGCCTTCAGTCTTCATCATACTGAAAGAATAATTCTAGTTCGTAATTATACTCTTTTATTAAATTTAGACACTATACTGAGGGTGGGATCTGAATATTACTGTAAGATGATTTTAGAAGTGAACTTTTGTCCTACTATCAATCCTGATCCTTTCCCTCCTGATCAACTGATCCTTTTGTAGAACTGATCAAGACCAGGTTAAGAGCTAAGACCATTTATCAAAATTCCAGTTCATGGTCAGATCTATTGCTTTACTCCACTTTTTGAAAGTTTAAATGCTTTCCATAATCTCTAAGTAATTTTGTCTGAAGTATGATGAAGTGCTTGAACGCTACACTAGACCTTTCCACTATTTCAACCAAACGTGATGTAGAACAAACGATCTTCTATCTCAACATGTTTATTGTTATGAAACCAATAATTTCACATGTCCAATCCTAACAACAAAACACCACTCATATATTACTGCTGTATAGTGCAGTTTGCAATAACTTGAGGCAGTTCTGAACGTTCTAGGAACATGGAGAGAGCGAGAGGCAGAATACAGATCTCTTTGTTTTGAGCGATAGAAGATGCTGACGTGTGCTGATGACATACGCCCACATCGTGCTGCATACTGCGTCAGCACTGCAGCATCAGCTTCTGCAGACAACCAGACTGTGCAGAGCTAGGCGCCTGCGTTTGGAACGTGTCTTTGGTCAGTGGGAAAAGTGAGAGGCATAGCTTCCTGACACTAATTCTAACAGTTAGGGAAAAATGTTTGAAGACTTGGAAAAATCTCTTGGTTGGGTCGAAATTTGTATGAATGTGTCAGAGTAATTGCAATTTGTATCAATTTTGCTGGAAATATACATTAACTGGAGTAAAAATCTTCGGGCTGTGTTTGAGAAGTGGAAATGGGTATGAAACAAAGAAAAATACCTAGCAATCGCTGGAACATAATATCAAAGAACTTTGTTGTAGTGAAAAAGGATGCGACGTGTTGGAAATATTCAGGGAAATAAAGTACCTAGTTGTTGAATATGATTTAACTAAAATTGTCGGTAGAGTAAACAATTATCGTAAGATTTTTCTCGTATAGTCTTATTAATGTACACAAAGTTTTTTGAAGAAATAACGAAATTTTATGCTTTGAGGGTCACATCTGAATTTGATATGATTGTGTTTTTGGCCTCTGGGGAATTCAAAACGAAAGACATCGGTCCCGGAGACTCGTTCTCTCTATTTGGAAAAATTCACTATAAAGAGAATGCTTTGAGGGTCTCATTATATATATGAATTTTGTATGATTGAGTTTTTGGCCTCTGGTGACCTCAAAACTAAAGATTAAATCGGTCCCGGCCTCCCGGGTCCAGGTCTTACCCTGACACCTATGGTAATACATTTTATCAGTTACGAACCATTATGAATCTAATAAATTTATAATACAAATAGGTTATATAAATGATAATACTGTACATCGCGTCGGTTAAGTATCGTCTCTTAAATTCTATTCTCGATCGTATTCGATGAAAAAAGAGCCATCGAGGAATCTCGTAAATAAAATTATAAAATGTTAAATCGTAAAAAAATATTTCACAGGTTTTGCAAACTTACCCAACAAATTCATAAGTGTTTTAACTTCCAGAACATTGTTGCCCAGCGCTATTTTTATTGCACCATTTTAGAGTCAACGCCTTCAAACCCATAAACTTAATGTAGATCGAAAAGCATGAACCGATAAACGTTAGAGCATAAACTTCGCTCTTTGAAATTTATAGGTGTCTCGAGGCAAATGAATTACATGGGACAAAGGTGAATTGCAAGTGCATTAAGTTGCGTGTGTAAAGATGAAAGAAAAGGTGACGCTGCTTTAACAATCCAAGCAGAGGTGCCAACTGCACTATTTGTGGCCGTGACTTTGACCCAGTGTTGCCAATTGTGTTTTTTCCAAATAAACCTTTATTGTTATCATATGTTTTTCCAAATAAACCTTGTTATGATATGTTTTTTTTTTCAAATAAAACCTTATTTGTTATCATATGTTATCTCGGATAAATAATTGTTACCTTTTAGATTTAACGCACATTGTAAGATGTATGAATTTAAAATTTTAAAAATAATTTGATGCTACCACATACACATTAGTAGATTATATAAGAAGAAATTATAATTTTTTTTGCATTATGATGTAAACAATATTAAATTAATGGAGTAAAAATTGAAAAATCCTAAAATGAAGATAAACTAAGTACATTGATTTAGTGGTACAGGAGCGTCTCAGACTTCGGTGCGGGAGGAACGAGTTCAATCCCCGGCACATCACAAAACTTTAATGGTTTTGGGCCGTTTCCCCTAAAGGATTTACTTTTATAAAATACCACTGGCGTAGAAAAAATAGCTGTTTTGAACAAACTAAATGACTTTAAAAAAATACTCAAAACGGGTTTTGTCAAATAGTGTTAAAACCGTCCTTGAACTCCCGTTGCGTTAAGATAAAATTTCAATGGATATTTAATTTAATCTCTTAATTACCGATACAACTAGTTTTCAGACAACTCGCTTATCAGTGTACCTTGGTCTTAAATGGCAGCAGTTTTGTAACATGAAGCGTAAAATATTGCGTATAATCTATGTCATAACAAGATAAGGTAGAACTTACGTACCAAAATAGGTCAACGTTTAACGTAGGCCTAACCATTGGGACCGATCTTCAAATCATTACGTTTTTCAGAACGTTTCTTTAAAACATGCCCCATTTACTTGTTATTTTTTAATATGTGGCACACTGCTAAAGACGATTCGACAATTTGTAGCAAGGGATTGTAAAATGCAAATATTTAACTTATGGATGGATAATTTATACAGGGTGTTTCCAAAATTGTATGGACATATTTTCTGGACTTGTTCCTTGGGCTAAGACAAACATAAAATGCCGTATAAGTAGCCTATGGTTCTAAAATGCCTAGATTTCTGTTTGTCGGTCTGTTTATGATTTTTAAGAATTATTTTATATCTTGGGCATTTTTTGAGATAGAGATTTCAAAATTAGTATAAATGTGTATTTTAGTAGCTAAAAAGAGCTAACAAAGTTTCGGTCCAAAATCTCTCTAAATATGGCGGCCATTTAAAAACGTTAATGCCAAATTTCATGAAACACGCATTGATTTTTTAAATAGCTTGTCTAACTTTGAAACTATTTCATCAACAACAAAACTATCATGTGTTCTACGACCATTCTGTCCATTAGTAATGGCCAGACTGTAAATTTGTCATATACAAGATAAAATCCTTTGATATCCATAAGTGCTTTGAAACGCAACTGGGCATCAAACTGACATAAAAACAAACAGGCTTTCTGGTTTTGCAATAGACCCTGACGACCCTGACAGAACTAAAATTCATACACCATGCAATATAATTTTCATATCAAAACAGCTTAAATGGTGTTAACAAACATTTTTGTTTGTGAATTTTGAAGTTATCTTTTTATGTGTCGTTCTTGTTCTTCTTGCTTTGTATACTATTTTCACTAATAATGTACCCAACTAAAAGTGTTTTAAACATGTGATTTCAACAATTAAACAACATCAAGAAGAGCACAATATCCACCAGTGTTTTAGAACTAGATTTTTTTACCCCACTATAAGGACATTTTTATATCCTTTGGTTCATATCATCAACCACTCCTTTCAAACGGGAAGTTTTCCAGACGCAATAAAATTATGAATTGTAAAGCCAGTCCACAAGAAAGTCAGTGTTCATGATCTAAATAATTTTAGACCTAAGGTAAATGCACCAGTAGCTGACAGTACTCCAGAAGCTGACAGTTTGAGTTTCTTTACATTATAATGTGGTCTCTTAAAAATATGTACACATGATTGCATTGTTAGAAGAACATATGTTTATTCTTGATTTGTTTACTAACAAATCAGTGAAATTTAGCGCATACTCGCTGAATGGTGGTGGTTTGAAAGCGACCCTGTCTGTACACGTCACATTTAGTCGATTCCCTTAATGAAATTGTTAAGAAGGTAAGTTTGGGTTTTTGTAATTTCGCTAAATTTCTTAAATAGTATTAATGATTAGGCTCATTATTTTTATCAATTATACCTTTGTTGACAATTTCATGATAAAATTGGGGTGTTAGGGGTTTCGGATTTAAAATTGTATCAATGTCAGGCTTTGGTACACAAAAGCCATACAAGTTCCACTAGCTGACAGGGGATATTTGCTTTTTGGACAATATTAAATTGGTTTTACCCATCGCAATTTGCATGCTATGTATAATTTATGTGATCTCAAACACACCTTAAAATGTCATTATAATAAAGAAATAAGACCCCACAACTACTTTTAGCGAATTTCCCTATTGGAAATAGAGCTATTACCGTAGGTCTCATGGTAATTTTTTAATTATTTTTTTTAATGTAAATATTTTTATTTTAAAATATGTAAAATAAATTTTCCTAATAACGTTTTGCATGATTTTATAATTGAATTAATAATTTAGATTTTATTCGTCTTATAAATTATAAAACCCTTAGGTTTAGCAGC